TGGTAGATAAGCAAGAGCTGTGCTCTCTCAAGACACAAAGAGGGGTTGGAGATTCATGATCTTTGAGGTCTCTCCCAACCAGAGCCGTTCTGTGAAAAGCTTGAATAAAAACTCTGAAGGGGAGTGTGACAGCTTTTTTGTTTTCTACGATAGGTAGAATCATAATTTAATTCTTAGCTAGTATTTCGATGAGCATATGCACGAGTGAGAGCCATTTAAAAATATATAAATACATAGAATATAATTAAGTCAGGAATGCATGATTCATTAAAATACCAGGGAAAGGCATTACAAGTCCTCTGAGGATATTGAGAATGGATGCAACTCGATAAAGAGACTTGACCATAAAGACTGCACGCTCAGAGTTGAAAGCAGTCCTGCTCTAGCATGAATGGCCACAGGTTCTGGCAAAAGTAAAAGTGATGTTTTGTTCATGGAGGAGGATCTGGGAGGATTTCCTAGGAGATGGAAACTTCTTGTATGTTAAAAATGTTTTCTTCCCGGGGCTTCCTTTGAAGTTGATACACCAGGGATGTGGAAAAACTACTTATTGTTGTAGGGCAAATTTGAAGCACGTTTCGGTTTTCAAAGGGAAAGAAGAAAACTGATTGTAAGCATTCATGGCAGTGGTTTCTCTTTGCTTTGGGAAGTGCTGTTAGGCCAGCGAAATGCCTGTCTTGCAAATACCATGCAGGTGTTGCGGAAATACCTTTCTGCAAAACGCCTTCAGCAGAGTACTGGTAGGAAATGGGATGATCAATGACTTCCTCTCTGGATATTGTCCAGTAACCTGATCATTTTGACATTAGTTTAATTAAGATACCAATCTGATGTGTAATGTACCTTCTACCTCTCAAAACAGTGTTTGAGTCTTTTGAATGCTGCTGAAGTTTTTTGAATGCTGCTGAGGTATTTTGAATATTGGTGCTCACCATCTCCTGTGAACGTGGGGTATGTGTGGTGAAGTCTACAGCTGTCGTCTTACTTGTTCCACCCTTAATATCCCTTAAGGATAGCCCTGCAGTGTGAACAGCAGCACAGCCCATACGTGCTGCTCCTGATGGCTTTTGTGGGTGGCAGCAGCATGAACCTGATACAGAGTTGTGGTTCTTGGCACTTCCCTGCTGCCCGCAGGACTCAGCGCACCAGCGGGCAGCTGACTGAGCCCCAGTAGTGCCACTGCTGCTGCTTGCCGAAGCTGTTAGCAGCAGAAGATACCCTGGAGCTGTTCTGAATCGTTGCATTGTTTTGTGTTCGGTTATATTTGGATGACCGTCTTCGCAACCGTGAAAACTAGAAGCTTGTTTTTCCAAATAAAATGCTCATTTTGTAAATATGCGGCTGCCTTGGGGCTTTCCTTTCCGCTTTCTCCCACATCTTCTTCACTTAAAAATTCCTCTCAGTGCTGATGGATGGAATAGGTTTGTCAGCTACTGGCAAAAAGATGCGCACCCTGGGGGTGTCTGATCTGTGTCCCTTCTCAGTGGTGGGAGGGCTGTTTTTGGCTTGGCAGAAAACTTTGCCCTGTCTTTGTAGATGCTGTGTAGCTTTTTGGGATTTGTTTCCAGTGTACATGATAATTTATAACTGTTTATGACTGTACTTTTTTTTAAAGATTTAATCAATACTCAGAATACAAGACCTCTGTGGAATTAAATCCTTACCTGGCTTTGATTGGCAAGTCCGTGCAGCTACTGTTCTTTGTAAAGCAAGGGTATTTCTGGTTCTTCTAATCTCAAAACAATTGTGTTGTTTTGCAATTTTGTGTGTGTGTGTGTGACAGCGGTGACTCCTTGGTGCAGGTTTCATTACAGCTTTATTTAGCTTGTAATGGCTGGCTGGTGTCATCCTGTGTCTTCATGGATGTTATTCCCATATGCTTAGAAATGTTCATAGCAAAACTGAAAAAATAAGTTCTCAGTTTTCTAACAAATACCTTAATGTTGCTGGTGTGCAGGACATATAACTGAATACAGAAGCTATAGAATGGACCAAGAAGTAGTGGGTCAGCCTCCAGGTTAAACAGCCAGTCACCTCGTCCAGCATGCTCCCAGTTCTACATGAGGGAGGTAATAGAAGCTGGTGAGGAGTAACGTGGGGGGCAGCTTTGAGTAGATACGTCATATGAAACTTCTTTTTAAAGCAACTAAATGTTTAGGAAGATTACTTCAGAAAATTGCCAAAAAGCTACTGTTGCCATTATTGCCCACTAATTAAATTGGCACTTTTTTTGTTGTTTTTCTCAGCCCCAGAATGGTTCAGGAAGGTGTCAGTGTATGTTTACAATCCTCTGACCTTACCAGCTTCAGTAGCACTTGGCTGAGATGAAATTATACTGAGAGTGCATTAGGAAACTTCCTTAATTTTATTTAGCTGATCTCAGAATGCTAGAACAGTACATTATTTAGCATTTTGCTAAGCTATGAAATTGTAACTTGAAAGATAAATGATTGCAATTTCTGTTATAGGTTGGATAACCATAACATCAAAGCATCTTTGCTACAGTTCTAAAAACTAAAATGAAAATTTAATAGTTGTCTTTGTAGTTAAGCTGCATATTTGCAGAAATATCTTTGAATGTAATGACACTGATAACTAAAAAAATTCATCCCATTCATCTGTACCAGTGAACAATGAAGTTCATCTTGAAATAAGGCTGAAGAAGTAGAATCCCAATCAAGACATATTCTTAAACAGACCCAAAATCCAAAGAGAAGTCATATCCCAATCTATTTCCTGATTCTTCTTTAATGGGCTTCCAAGAAAAGCAAGGATGTTGGTAGGGAATAGCAATGATGTCGAAGCTTCTTATTTTTCTAAGGACTTTAAAAAAAAAAAATTAGAAAACCATACCAGCTGCTTGCTTTTCTTTGATACATTGACAAGAACACAATGAAAACTTATCTAGTCTATTAAAATAGCACCTTAAAGCCCCTTTAGTAGGCAGAGATAATCACCTGGCCATGTCCTGTGTGATGGAGGAGGCCTTCATCACAAGGTGTGCGATGGTCTGGGCAGAGGGGGGAGGGGAAAAAGCAGGGAAGGGGTTTCCTCCTTGATCTGAAAGAAGCTGTAAATTCTGCAAAAGGGCACTTATGTAATCGCTGTTGCTTGTTTGGAGTACAGAATTCAATTGCAAAAAGAAAAAAGCAAAAGATATATTGCAGGACAAAACATGTTTGAGGCCCCCAAGGTTTTAATGTCTGTGTTGCAGCCTCCTCATGTCGATGCGAGACTCATCGTGTTACAGGGAAGCCTTGGCCACAGGAATATGCAGTTCCCACAGTTTTCAGCCTAAGAGAAAGTAGTATTTGCAGTTTTACAGCAGGAGGTGGAAGAGGAAGAGTTAATCCCGATACCACATGTAGGGAAGAGCAGTCCTTTGGGGGTTAAATTGCAGAGTCTAATGGAATAATAACTGGTAGCACCATCTGCTGGCCTACTTCCGCAGAAGGAGTCAGTATTTTTAACGACATCTCTAATATTCATGCTGATGCATTTTGATGCTTTGTGCATTCATTTCTTTCTGTGCTTTGTTGGAATCTGGCTATCTGCTTACAGCTGTGTTGGAAATCCTGCTCTGGAGGGGCGGCGGGCAGGCTCTGCCCTACCTGCGCTGGGCGATCAGCGGCTGTGTGCTCACCAAGGGAGGAATATGTTGATAAATCACAATGTGCATTTGTGGAGGGTTGTGCATATCTTGGCTGCAGCTTGCTAAATAGGCCATTTAGCAATCTTCTTTCAATGCTTTTCTCTTGAGCACTGCCTGGGGTGCTGAAAAAGCAGAGGGCAAGCCTTTGTCTGACGCCAAAAATGTCTTCAGTGAAGAGGCCAAGAGGAAGGGTAAGTGAAAGCCTGAATGAGTGGGAGGAGGAGGGGTTCTTTGGGCTAAAAGGCTAATGGGATTGAATAACCTTCCTTATTACTGGCTGCTGCGGCGGGAGCCGTGCTGCATCGCCATCTTGAGCTTGTTGCTGTTTGCTCGAGCCATGGTTATTTGTTAGAGCTTGTAGGCCTTGAGGTGGCATTTCAGTGATCCCGCGCCGGCCTCCCTCCCTGCTGCAGCACCGCTCTGTGCCTTTGATGAGGCGCGGGTAGAAAATGGATCCAGTGAAGTGCACTGGATTCAGCCTGGAAATGTGTCTGGAAATTGCTGGTGGCTTTTCTTCGTGCTGTAGTCAGAGGCGCCTTTACGGGTGAGAATGTAACATAAGTGTTATCTGCCGGTTTTTGTCTGTTTGAATAGGAAATTCTTTCCATTCCTTGGAGGGGGAGGGGAAGAAAGCAAAAACATGTCTTCTGGTCTGTGAAGAGCCTGGTGGTCGGGGCATTGCACTCGCGTGTAAACAGCCCCGCATCGGAGAAATAGCACTGAAAAGCCTGAAAATCAAAACAGGACGTACATTTTCTAACTCAGATACTGGCACTATGTTGGTCGTAATAAAAATACTGCTTTCTGATCCTTTTATCAGGGAGAGCAGTGTAGGCTTAGTTTTGGATTGCTTTTTTAATCTTGATTTTGTTTTAACAACGATGCTGTTTAGCACTGCTTTAGCCCTGTGGATATGATGCTTACTCTAAGGTATTTGTACCCCGGTATATTACTGAAGAAGAGATGCTAATGCTGTTACCTTGGGGAGGTCTTGGTTTGTTCAGATTTTATGAGGAGAATATTTTCTGGGGATGTTGGAGATGTGCGTCAAACGTATGGGAATGCTTGAAAGGCTGCGGATCGGAGTGAGGAACTACGGAGAAGGAAAGAATGCTCACAGAATTAGGGGAAGATTTTTTTAAAACTAATTTTAGGACATAGACGGGTTGTTTAAAGTCAACAATTGATGTACTTATTCTGAAACCCACGCAGAATTCCTTCTTTGTTGTGCCTGTATGTGTCTCTGCAAGTTTAATTCCGGATTTAAAAAGCTTGCACTTTTTCTTCTAAGAAATATTTAGTATCTTAAAATAAGGGTTTTTTGTTTACTTTTTGTCTCTTGCCGCAGCCTCCTTCCTCCAAGAAGACCGATGGTTCAGGATCACATACTAAGTCACAGAATACCCAGGTGAGGGCAATGTCGGAAAAGAAGCAGAGGAAAAAAGCAGACTCTGAAAGTAAACAAGAGAAGGCAAATCGCATAATATCTGAAGCGATTGCAAAAGCAAAAGAGAGAGGAGAGAGAAACATCCCACGAGTAATGAGTCCAGAAAACTTCCCCAGTGTTTCAGCTGAAGGAAAAGAGGAAAAGAAAGGTAGAAAAGTTAAATCGAAACCCAAGGACAAGGAAAGTAAAAAGCCAAAAACTGGTTCCTCATCCAAAACTAAAGAGAAAACAAAAATTGGGTAAGTAGATCTAAATGTCTTCTTACTTCTCTTCAGATTTCTTGAATCTGTGATAAAAATGAAAACTGCTTACTGATAATGTTCTCATTTACTGCCTACACAGAATTCTTCCTAATGAAGTCCATGTGTGGACTTTCTTGTTCAGGAACAAGAGTGCTTTGTTTTCTCTTCAGCTGAAATCATTTTAAAACTGTCCTTTAAAAGGAATGGCTTCTGTATTTTAAATTTATGCCAGCATTACTTTATACTTACTTTGAAGCTTAGACAGCACCACATTATCTTTCATCTAGTGCTGTCATCTGTTCTGACTCCAAACTAAGTTTATCTGATAATATAAATGCTGTGTTTGTCAATTCTGGCTTATATTTTCAATGTATGATAAACTGCATAGGACAAAACTGGAAGTTTAATGAACTTGCTGGCAGATGAATATTCTTACGGATATTGTGTACTATATCAAAAGTACAGTGCATATTTGTATTTTAAGTATTTTGTGTTCTTTAGTTGTATCAATTTAGTCTGCCCTCTTAAAGATTGTGCAGACTCAGCTGGATCAAGCTGAGTTCATACCCTGGGGGTAAGAAGCCTCCGAGAAACATGTTAGATGTCAGAGAGCTGCAAGGAATTCCATACCTGGCACACTTCTGACTGCATAGCTAACCTAGTTCTCCAGGATACTTTTGAAGGAAAGAATGTGATTTCCGACATGAAGCTTGTCAGTCAAGACTTGAAACAGAAGCCTCAGCTATGGTTCAATTCTTGTTTGAAATCCTTTGCCCTTCCAGTGATAACAGAAATAGGAACTGGCATATCTGTCTAGATTTAAATGCCTCGTATGCATATTTCATGTTTAGACAGCATAAATGAATGTTCTTTTAATCAGCCCATTTCTCTGCATTTCTGCTTTTATTCCTGGTGTGATACTATTCTTGTATGCTCCAAATAAACTACTTCCTTGAGAATTAGTCCAATAGTATAAAGGTTACGTGATTTTAACCAGAACTTTACTGGTCGTAATTTTTCTCTTTGCTTATGGGATTTGCACGAGTGCTGCTTATGCTCCTGAGCATTTCATCACATTTCCTCCTCGATTCCCATCCCCCCATCTCTTTTAAAGTTGAGTTTGGGATATATACTCCCAAAGTTGCTTTCATGTTTATTTGTGTTAGATAGCAGACATTTTGTGGGTCGTTCTAATCAGGAAGCTTACACACTACTTTTGGCTAGTGTCATTTTCTGGATCCTTTGCGTGTGTTGTCCTAAGTATGCTTTATAGCTGTTCATCCAAATAATTAAGAAGCTGCTGAAAAATAATCCTTTTGATATGCTACATAATTCCAGTAATGTTTTTGCTGCTTTTTAATCAGTGTAGTCAAATCAACTGCTCTCCTCGAGTAACAGTTCAGCATTCAGTTTTGTCTTCATGAAATGCTTAGCTGTGCACATCAATTTGCATCCCTTTTCTAGTTGTCATGAAGTAGTATCAAATGACAGGTAGACATTTGTCAAACTGTTTTTAACAGTGATGCTTGTGCTTGATCTGAAGCTGGTAGACAGCTTCCCATTTAATTAAGTACGGTCAACTTTAGGTAACTTGGCTGCAAGCTGTGAAGGTTTGCATCCCTGTTATTTACCACCCCAACTGCCTAAAGCCCCAGTAACATGCTGTTGGGTAGTGTTATCAAGTAAACAGTGTGGGACAGGTAGATGAAAAGTCAATACTAAGAAGCTGTTAGAGAACTGTGAAGTGAGTCTTCTGGAGCCACCTATTACAGATTGTACAGAATTTACATAGATGCACAGCTGTCCAACGAAGTATATTGTTTCTGGACACCCACATGCATTTTTTTATGTGAGTACTTTCATGTGGTGTTACGTTGTGTTAGCACTATTTTATATCTTCTATAATGCATGTATTTTTACAAATAACACCAGCTGCTTAGCAAGGATATGTACTGCAGTGATTTTGAAGAGCAGTAATTGCAAGAAGACCCTGATGTTTGTTTAAAAATAATCCTATGAGTGTTTACTATGCCAATGTGGCTATTGATCTTATGTAAGTAGAACACTTACTGTAGGATGGCTAAAACTGCCTATTCAAAGGTGGTTAAGCAGTTGTATTGCTACAAGTTTTTCATAAAACTTGTTTACGTGAAATCCAATAATTAATAAAGGTTTTAGAAGGCTAAACACCTTCTCATAAGGATATCTTGTTATCTCACGTTGTTAGAAAAATATTTTTTAACTAATTGAAGCACATGCTGCAAATTGTGGTAACGAAATAGGTTTAGGATTTTGAGTGTGTGGGTTGCTACATTCGTTTGCCCTGTTACCTTAAAATAAAGCTCCCACTGAACATTGAGAGAAAGTTTCATCATGTTGAAGTAATACTTTAGAGGGCAGAAGTGAAAAGGAGAAGGGAGAACTTGAATTTCATGAAAACCTTGGGCTTTCTTTGGAAAATAAAACCTTTGTAATCTGTGGAAACCTGGAAGGAAACGATATTAAAGGGGAAGACTAGTAATTAAAAAAACACAACTAAGTTTTGTATGTAACTCTTCTTGCTTAAATGCAAGCATGAAACCTGAAGACAGTAAAAAAAAAAAAAAAAAAGTCATTAAAAAATAATAATAAAAAATAAGCTTATGGCAGTTGAAAGTTGTTTATCAGCTACAGTTCTTTAATGAGCAATGAAACCATCAGCTTTACAGACAGTGAAGGCACACTAAAGAAACAAATGAAGCGCACGTTTAGCTGTAGCGAAGAACTCGTGTGAACGCATCGGGCTTTCCTTTTGAAGGGAGTTGGGCCGTGACACATCCATCCCAGCACAGTACCTGTCTGCCTGCTGGGCCGTCTCTCTGGAGACGCTTGGAACTGGCAGTAACGGTTACATCAGCTCCGTTGGGATGCTGAGAGCCAGGCTGGGGCAAGGAGCTGTGCCTCTCAGAGGGGCTGAAGTCAGGCTTGTTGTTCAGGTGACCCCTGCTTGCTCTTAACCTGATCTTTCACATCCCCTCTGTTATCAAACGGGGCCTATTCAACAGGAGTCTGAGTGTACCTTCTCTAGTCCGTACTCAAACAGCAGGTTGTTACCTGGATTATGCTCGCAGGCATTGCTGGTGTGTAATGTGGCCTGTGCTGCTCTTGAGCAGGATTTAGAGTTAGTGATCCAGCTGTGAAAAGGATACGCTCTGCCTTGCTGAACTGGCAGAGTGGAACTGGCACGCTAGTTGCTGAACAGACTTTTATAACATTGCTTGTGAGCCAACGGTTTCTATTTAAAAAGAAAAAGTCTGTGTTTAGATGTAATGCGACACAGCTTTGCTGGCACTGAGCAGCCCTCGTCTAGGGTCACGTTTTGGCTACTGTGTGCTTGGGCACAGGGGAGATGGCACGATTTCAAACAGACCTTTTCTCACTAATTAAATTGGTTTGTCTTTGGGGACTTCATGTTAACTGTTCACATTTTCTGTCGTGATTCCTTTGAGATCTGCATATAGAGAAAATGTATAGCATAATTCTTTTTGGTGGATCACGGTTAGTTATGAATTAGTAGCAGTTATTTTCTAGGCAGGCTGTATTTTCTTTCTGAAGTCTCCACTTAAGATTGTTAATCCTCTGACCTGTTTAAGTTGAAGAAGCAAGGCCTGTGGTTTCAGCCCACTGGTTTAGAACTGGATTCAAGAATTAGTAAAGTTCTGTGCCATAAAGATAGGTAAAGATAAATGAGTAAGTTTATTTTATTACCAAGCGTATGACAAACTATTAGCAGTGTACAAATGCGTGTATAATGTATTTAGGGTTACCAAATGTGTCACCAGTTACCTTCGGATGTTGATTACTGATGAACTTTTCACAGTTAAGGTTCTTCACAGTTTTTGTGAGGACTTCGAAGCCACCCTTCATATGCTGTCTATTCAGCCATTTAGCCATCTATTTAGGAATCTAAATGCTTAATGTTTTGCATAGAGCTTCTAATGACTTACAAGCTTTTTGAATTGTTTATGATTTCGGTTCATCCATTTAAGGTGATAGATTTTTTTTGGTTTAAATACGTCTTTTACCACTTTATGTAAGGGATTGAAGAGTTACAAATTTGTGAACATTCTGTTGTTCAGAAAAGTAGATTGGCATTTAGATTATATCGCTCTCAAGTATTCCCACCTACTCAAACACAAAATTAAATATCATGGCCCTGATGAAAAGCAGCAGCTCTGCATTAGTGATATAAAGGGTGATATCATTAGAGTACCTAGTTTTTAAAAATAAATAACCAAATAAATCCCTCTCAGGCCTTGGGAATTAGATGTACAGAATTAAATCCAGAGTGGTAGCCCTTAAATTCCGAACTGCTGCCATTTATCAGAAATAGTTTCATCATTTAATGTGCTAAAGGAATAGTTATGTCTGGTAGACAGTCTTTATATCCTCTAGTTGATGTGGTGCTGCTAAGGTGGTCTGAGTCCTCCTAACACCAGTTCACAGCACTTCTCCCCTGTGAAAGCAAATGAAAAGGAAACCATTCACCTGTTACGCTGATCTTGCATCATTTATGGCTAAATACAAGAAATTCTAGGGAATTTCCTAGAAATCAGGCACTGTGAATTCTCTTATTGTATGATTTGTGTAAGTCAGACAAGTCCTGTTTAATAGGTCTGTGCACAAGTGGAAGAGAAATCGTTGGATCTTTTTATTCCATTTGATAGTAATGCTGTTTTTTCATGCCTTTGAAGGGCATGAATGTAAAATTTCATCATCCTCCTGGGATGTGTTTGCACATACTGAGCCACGACTCCTTGTCAGAGTTTCCTCTGCTCCCAAACTCAAGTTTTGATGCATCACTTGTGCTTAAGTGATGTAATCTTAAGTCTGCTAATTACTGCAAAATATTTGAATGCACAACACTATGGTCTTGTCAGGAAGATAACTAAACATATTTTTTTTTTCTTGCATTATGATTCCCATTCCGTATGAGCTTGAAATGGCTGCTTGTTCCAAGTAAGACTAGATGAGTGTTTAAAAAAAAATCTGTCTGCAATCCAAAAGTTATTAATTAGAGATATATTTGGAGGAGGAGACAGTGGGTAACACTGGGTGTTAGTATTATTTATTAAACATATGCTGAAATGATGAGAGCAGCTGTTTTTATACTACCAATACATCTCCCATTTGAAGAGGATACGCAGTCTTATCGAGGAGATATCTGCTTTGTATTTTGCTAATAGAATTTTTAGCAAAGGTTTTAGTGATTAAAAACACTAATGCTATAGTTCTGTTGCTAGTAATTAAATAAAATACTTTGACTACAGATTAAAATATTTGGAAGGTGGCTTTTCACATACTAATAACCAGTTTTTTACTGTTTCTCTGTTTTGAGAATTAAAAGTGATGCATTAAAGGTATGCTTTGAAAGTCAGCAATATCCTGCTGTTTCTTACATGCCTAATATATGTTTGCTGTTTTCTTTCTTTTCTAATACCTCTTCACGTTTACTGTTTCGAAGGCTTCTTTATAATTTTAAAGCTCTTAAAAGTGCTGACAACTTTGCAGTGGCCTTGTTCCCGTATCGGAAGGAAGGGAAATGAACCAGGTTCTAACTGGCTGTTAGTTTGCAAGGAAGAAGTTGCATTGTCCGGAGATCTGCTCCTCATATGGTGATACTTTGTGTCGTAGTTTTGTAGACATAAAACACTTTAGGAGTTACGTGCTAAGGTTGAAAAGTAATAATGGCTCCTGAGGTGGTGTCTTTCTGATCTCTTCCACTGTTGTAAGTTTCTCATCATTTTAATTTTACTTTGTTGATAGAGAAGAAGGAAAAAAAACAAACAAACATGTTGAACTAATCTACCTTGCCTAATCATTTTATTTCTCTATTACATAATAAGACACTTTAAAAAGCCAAGTGAAAGTGAAATTGAAATGGAGTCTAGTGATATGATTTATTCTGAGTCTGCAGTGTGCTGTTTCCTTTTCACAGAAACAGAAAGATAGTTGCTGTTCAGAACAGTTTGTTTCAGCTTGGCAGAAGGGATGGTAGCCAAGTATCTTAATGCTTTCCTGCAGAGATTTACAAACTGGCAAAGCAACTTGCTCTCAGTCAAAAAAAAAAAAAATCTCAGAGCTGATCCAGTTTACAGGCTTCTGAAAATCACTGTTTTCACGTAGCACATTTTTTAATAAGTTTTTGGCCAAAATATGAGCAGATTGCATTTTTACTAATAGAAACGCATGACTTCAGCACCATGCTGTCATTCAGCAACTACTGATATCAAAGAGCATTTTGGTTCTGGGCACTGGATCGGAAGGAAGAGAAAGTATGCATGTATTCCTCTTGCTGGCATCATACCCACAGAAGAGAAGAAACGTTCAGAGCAGTGACGTGCAAGGAAGATATTAAGAAAATATCAGGAAGATGCATTTAAGGGCAAGTACTGGGGGTAGGAAGTGGAAGATGAAGAGAGAGAGACAGATGAAGAGGTGAACATGCAGGGAGCAGACATTAGCTTTGAACAGGCAGCTCTGGAAACAAGCAGATCTGTCATCATGCTTATCGCACATATCATGTGTTTGCCAGTGAAGTTCAGTTCATGCTGAGTCAAAAAAGATGGAAGTAGATAATGCTTTTATTTTTTTAAACTGTTCCATTGAATGTGAAAACATTCATTTTTACAAAGGTCTGTGTAATCTTTTTGTGTCCCATGTTATTTTATCGATCCCTAATGTTTTGGTAACTTTCTTTTGTTTGTGGAATCATAGTTTGGTTGTCATAAACATCTGATAATTCTCCTAGCTAGACTCAGCCAAAGAGGAACAAATGAGGAAAGTGTTTCAGCCACCACCTTCTCTTTGATGGCTTTCCAGGTGGACAATATTTGGTACTACTTTGGGATCAAACACACAAGTTAGCTGTATAAAAGTTAGTGTCTTGTGCTTAACTGGTTCTGTAGAATGGCAGAGACCATTTGTGTGTTGTATCAGTTCTTATTTCTGTTACACAGAAGTGATAATTAGATGCCACGTAAAATATATTTTTAAAGAGCAGTGGTTGGCACGTTTTGAATATGAGAAAGGAAATATTTCAACTCTTATTAGATAAAACAGATTACTTATTTCATAATTTCTAGCATAACCTGTCAGTCTGTACTGAGAAATCGTTAGTGCTTTTTCATTAGAATTGAACTGATTTCTTCAGTTCAGTATTCTTAGAGAGAAGTCTGTGTTTTGAATACAGCTTATTGTGGTGTTTCTTAGGACAAATAGATTGGTACAGTTTCCTCTTATCTGTTCAGTGACTGACATACATAAAAGTTACAGCTTTGAATCATTTTAGATTGTTGTTCAGGTAATTTTTAAAATATAAATGAGAGGAAATTTTGCAATGAGAAGCTATTTCAAGTAAGTTATTTACTGTTGTCATGTGTAGATGATAATTATACTAATTTTATCTGTGTAGTTTCTTATTGTCAGTCTAAATTTTAGATTCATCTCAAATATTTGTTTATAGACTTACAGTATTTGATACAGAGAAGTTTGAGCTGAAACTAACTGCTTACCTGTAGAGAAACTCACTAACAGGAGTATAAAATGTATACTGTCAAGTTGTACCATTCTATTTTGTGAAGTGTTTTGCGAAGTGTTTTGCATTCTTAAGGGTGTGGGGCTTCTTGATTTTTATAGTAACAAGAATTGAGGGTATTGTTTATGGATTTGGCATTGTTTTTAAGCTTGAAGTAAACTAGTATATAGCATTCATTTAGATGGCTTTATTTTTTTTCCCCTAACAGAAAGCTAATCATCACGCTGGGTAAGAAACAGAAAAGAAAAAATGAATCTTCAGATGAATTGTCTGATGCTAAGCAGACTCCACAGAAGTCATTGAAAGATGAAGATTCACAGGTAAGTGATCAAATTGTTCCTTCTTAAATTTGTATTTGTCTACAAGTTTTCTTTTTCTCATCTCTCCAGTGAATTATTTCTTTTCATACAGGCAGCTGACTGCTTCTTTCTGTCACTTGTATCTGTCTCTCATAGATTACAATCCTTACATTATCATTTCAGCATGCCAGTAGACTCTAGTTGTATCTATGAGGACTGTTCTGAAAATAATGCAACCTATTTTATGATGTTGGCCCACAACATCAGAGGCAGGTGTTGGTGGTATGGCAGTAGAGCTTCAACCTTCCCATCAATATCCTGTTACATTTTGTTGCCTTGTGACAGAGGGGCAGTCTGAGAAAATGATGTCTGACATGGAAGTGTTTATGAAGCAAAGATGTCATTGAATTCCTCTGTATGAAAAAAATGGCACCCATGACATTCATTGACATTTTCTGAATGTTTATGGAGACCAAACAGTGGATGTGAGCACACTGAGGTGGTGAGTGGTGTGTTTCAGCAGTGGTGACAGTGGTGTGAAAGACAAGTTGCACTCTGGATGGGCATGGAGACCTGTCACACCACAAAGTGAAAAGTGTCACAATCAGCTCATCTGAACAAATCACCTGATGGTGGTGCCTGTGTGGAAAAATAGTGTTTTGTGGGAGCAAACTTATTCTATCAACTAGTGTTATTGTGCTCTGCATCTGTTGTAGTTTCCATGGAAAAAAATAGAGGAGGCATTACTTTCAGAGCAACCAATGTAGAACACAGCTGAAGGAAGTGCAGGATTGAGAGTTAAAGTGGTAGTCATCCTTTTCAGGAATCTTTCCCTTTTAACTGTATTCACTGTTTTAAAAGATAGCCCTGGTATAATCATTTGCAAAATTCATGCACAAGGAAGTATGAACTATGCAAGTGATTGTATCTTATTCATATGCATATTAGTAACAGAATTGTAACTCTCTTCCTTTGGGCAGATTCCATTAAAACGTAAGATTTCATTCTGAAAATGTGCAGGTTTTTATTCTGTGGCAATTTCATTGAAGGAGATGTAATCAATATTTATAATAAATAGTTGAGTAAAAATTAATTGTATGATCTGATGATAATGTCAGAAAATAATCATCAAATGCAGAGCTGACCTTTAGTATTTTGCAGATGATGATAGGGGAGGAAAAGGGATCAGAAGCCATTTCCAGGAATGGCTTTCTATTAATTTAGGTGATAAAGTGCCTTAGGTAAACGTTACCTGGAAGGGAGCATGGAATGATTTATTCCTTGGGGTGTTTGTCTTAGTGTGGAAGGATTGTTTAGTAGATGTAAAAGGAAGTAAAAAAGTGGTTTGACGTTTTGAAGAACTATAGGTTAACAATTAAAATCCTGTCATTGCATAAACGTAAACTTGTGGGTCAACAGCTGTAATTCAGAAGTCTGGAGATCTTTCCTTTTTGGTTATTGATTTGGGTTTTTTGCTATTTTAGTGTTAGTATTAAATAATTCCTGCATGAAGGGAGAAGAGTGGTGATACTGAGTGCTATCGTGGAAAGAAAAGAGTTGTGCTACTGAATGCCACATAACACTGCTCTGTCTACCTGCAGAGGAGTTGGGGAGAAGCATAACAAGAAGAACATCCATTACTTTCCTTCATCTCTGCTCTGATTCATTCTCTGTTAAATTTTTCAGCATGGTCATAATTTTCTTTTCCTATTGCAAGTAGCTTTCTATTTCTAAACCCATGGGAGCAGTAATTTTAGGTTATTCTCCCTTATTCATTTGGTATGCTTAGTTTCTCAGTAAGTGTATTCTTTAAGTATGTTGATTTATTTTGTGCATCAGATGTTTTTATTTATTTACTTATGACCATATTTCTCAGTTCAGGGAAGTAATACAGCATTTCTCAAACAAGAGAGATTATATATTAATGTTGGAGAGCGTATGTCTGCTGATGTTTTATTAATCATTTCATACATCAAGTAAAGACATACTGAGAAAGCCTGAAAATGCTTTTCAATGCCTCAGTAGGTTTTGAAAACTTCAGCGACTACTTAACAAGAAAAACTTGAGTGTAGCTCTTTAACCTTTTGTTCTTAATTCCTACATCATTTTGCATAGCTCCTATTAACTAGCATTTTTAATAAGAATGTTCCTATCAGTTCTACAGTTCCTATAGTTTTAAACTGTAACGTGACAGTTTATATCTGAAGTTTCTTTTTGCTTTAAATTCCCCCACTACACCTCCCTCCACACACAACAGACACACACTTTTTATTGATGAATAGTTATTTTAGCTGCCTTATTGTTGAAAGCTGATTGTTTCACTGTCCTAGCATCTCCAGAAGAGCAATCTGATGCTCATTCTTTGATGTATGCTGTGTTGTGCATACTTTACTACTTCTCTACCTTAGCAAAACACTTCAGAAGTTGTCATTGAAGTATAGCAAGGCCTTTACCAGTGACCAGCCAGACCACGGGTTGAACTGAACAGCCAGAAAGAAAGTTCTGGTTCTGCAATCACGTCGTTACTTAATATCTGCTCTGCAAAAGCCAGTATAACAACAGGGATGTTGGGTTTTGGTCTATTCACAACTTCTTCTTCTTCAGCTGACTACTGCACTGTACTGAAATCACCAATGGCTTTTCCTAAATAAAAAATATGCTTTGCTATGTAGCTCACTATAATGAAATTAATTAAAAGAAACTTGTTTACTTTGCTGATTTTATTTCAGTGACGATCAGTTCTCTAAAACTATTGAAATACTGATGCTTTCTTACTGAGGATCTGCTATGTATCCTGATGTTCTGTGATTCCTTTTGAACTCTAAAAATAGAAGTATCAAACATTCCTATGAAAAACATTTGAGAAAAAAGTAAAGTTTAATTGTCTGAAAATAATATTTAGTGGTTGCTTTTTTCTGTTATTCCCATGCTTCATATGTTCCATCAAATTTTGGCCTTTGGCTTTTGGTTTAGCTTAAGCATTCTGAAATTTGTGGTCTGTGTTAGAGGAAACGTTTGGTAAAGCTTCTTAGCTTTCTTCTACTCCATGCAGAAGAGAAGATCAAATCGGCAAGTTAAAAGGAAAAAGTATGCTGAAGAAGGAGAAGGAAAACAATCGGAAGAAGAAGCTAAAGCTTCTGCGAAAATCAAAAAGAATTCTGCTCCTTTACCTGCTGAGCAGCCTTTACAGTTATTTGTGGTGAGTAAAATCCACTTTGGTGTTCAGTGTGAATCTACGCTTGACACATGCTGCACTGTTTTCATTTTACTTATGTGTTTAACGTGTCTGCCAGAGTTCTTGCTTCTCCATCTTTGTGTAATGAAGGTCAGAGTGTGTCTACTGCATCAGAATAATTGAACAGCATAAAAACAATAAGTCTGTTTTTTGAAAGCATCGGAATCACCACTGCCTGTAAAGGAAATTTATGTGACAAGTGTGTATGGAGTCTGATGCTCTTTTACCTGTACTTTTGCATATAGTTCTCTCTGTAAATCTGTAAAGCCTTCATTTTGAGGATAATGTTTGAAAAATTTTGGTTTAGTATGGGATTGTATTTTGCAGCCTGAACGGTAGTAATCTAATGTCAGTTGAATGACAAAGACAATCGTATTCAGGTACTTTTTTTTTTTTCCTTAAAGCAGACATGTGTATGTTCAAGGAAGAGTAGGTATATTCACTGTGTTTAAAATTTCTCTACTGGCATGATAGACTGCTACCTTTGAAAGTTGTAGTTACCTTTATTGTTGATCTTTTAACAAGCCACTCTTGCTGATGAAGCTTTTAGGCCTGTTACGGTTGAAGAAAGAGCATTTACTGGTATTTGTAATGATGGCATTGTTTTCCTATGTTTATAGGAGAATCCAAGTGAAGAAGATGCAGCAATTGTAGATAAAATCTTATCCTCTAGAATAATAAAGAAAGAAGTAAGTGATTGTCATTGGGTGAAATTATATATTTTAAAATAGGTTTCACTTCAACATTTTACATTTCCCCTAAATTTCCTTCTTAGATATCTGCTGGGATGACAGTAGAAACAGAAGAGTTTTTCGTAAAATACAAGAACTAGTAAGTATTACCACATTGCTCAGTTGAAGCTGTTGAGTGAAGTGTGGACCGTATTCATATACCAAAGTTTTGTGCTACTGGAGGATGACTTATGACCAGTTTTTGTCATTTTTCAGATTTCTCTTTGCGAACTTAAAATTGCTAAAAATCTTTGTTATGTTATGAATAATAATTGGCAAGTTAATGCTGTTCTGAAACCTGCTTTGACCAGTAAGCTGCCAGCTGTGGTTACCAAAAGAACAGAGTTTTTTGAAAATGTTTATTTATTAAATTCAGCAGGGGCTACGTAGCCTGAGGCTAAATTTAATTTCATGAATTTAAATGAGCTGTTTTTAGATTTACAGTGTCGGGCGTTTAAGAGAGGCTGGTGTAGGTGTCACTTTCTGTTTTGAAAAAAAAAAGCTTTTCTAGTTATAGAAATGAATTTACATCAGAAGCAGGAAATAAGGAATGAAGAACTGGCTTTTTCGATACTTTCTTTTTCCCCATTTCTTCATACCTGTCTTCTGTCCAGCTACTAAATCTGACCAGAAAAATTCACTTGAGGTACAGTTAGTTGGTATAGCTACCATTGAAAATGGTGCTCGTTCTTCTTTCTTCCTTGACCCTGCTTCTTCATATCTCTCCTCTTAAAGGATCTGTTTGCATTCTCCTTTCTGATGTGGGCTCTGCTGCTGCTGCTTATGCCCCTCACTGCTTTAGATTAATTTAGCTGTCCTGTAGTAGAGGAGATGCTCATGTTAAGTACATGAAAAAGCTAGGTCCAGTTAAGTACTTCTATCTCTGAAGGATATTCTTAGTTCTTTTTTTGTTGTTCCTTGCATCTGTGGATTTATGGATATTTTCTGATAAAATGCAGAATTTGAACTTAAGCTCACTTTTAAATGTGCTTGCTTTTCCTCTCAGGCCACTTGAAAGAAATCTGTGAGTCCAGAGAGTTCTATGGATGCTAGACAAAAAAAAAAAATACTGTCTTAACCACATGCATGTTTGGAAGATAACAGATAATATGGTTATTTGGAAGAATTAATCTTTAATCGTTGCAGTGAATTCTGTCTTAAATGATAAAATATTTTCTCATTTGAGTGAAATTTTGGTTTATAAACTGAATTATTTTAACTGTATGTTAAAAATAGATAGTAAGCCATGGCTTACATTAATATATTAATGTTAATCTCTGTAATTTCAGCTCTTATCTCCACTGTGAGTGGGCCACAGAACAGCAGCTTTTAAAGGATAAAAGAATCCAGCAGAAAATAAAACGGTTCAAACTAAGGCAAGCACAAAGAGCTCACTTTTTTGCAGATGTGAGTATGAAATACTCAAAATAAAAGTTATGATGAATATTTGTTTTTAAAATGCAACAGCTGAATGCTGAGAAATAAATGTAGCTGTTAGGACTCGGTTTGCATTGCAGTTGGGGGTTGTTTGTTTAACATAATTGTAAGAGCAGGCCTTCTGGAGTCATTGAACTAACCTGGATTGAATGGCTTGGTAAGTAGAGGATTATTGGGGTAACTACTTCCATGTGATAACGAGTGAAAGATTATTTTTATGTGGCTAGGTTCTCCAATATATAAACTTCCTGAGACAAAACTTGATGGCTAAGTTTGCCAAGCATCAGTAGTTTCCAATTATCGAATTCATTCATTCTTGATCAGATTTTGTCTATGATGAAACCAGGTCCCAGCATATGCCAGCTTTTTTTTTTTTCCTTTCAACTTATGTATTATTCTTACATCACAGATGGAAGAAGAACCTTTTAATCCTGACTATGTTGAAGTAGACCGGGTATTAGAAGTCTCTCTTTGTGAAGATAAAGACACTGGTGAGGTAAGTGCATCTTAAATCATGTCAGGATGATGTACCTGACTAATAATAGTATTTCTAGCAGATTTCAGAGTTAATACATTCATGATTTCATCATGATTTTAATCCTCAATAATATTTTCATTGATCCACATCAGTCTTGCCATTACCTAGCATTACCATGTTTTTCTGAAATAGAAATCGCAGCTCAATGGCTTTTCTTTTTACTAATATGTAAAAGTAGAAGATGCTTACGTGGTTACTGACGCAAAGGTGAGTTGTGGTAATTACCATGTGAGTTGAGACAAAGGACTGATTCTGTCTGTCAGGTAGTGACAAGGAGTGGAAAAAGGCATAAGAGGGCAAGCAGTCTCCTATGGTGGTTCCCTCTTCCTCTCTCACTCTACCCTCAGGCTTTTGACAATTAGCAATTGAGAAGCTGCCAGTGGGCTCCTTCAGTATTTAACAAAGCTCTTTCTGCACCCAATATAAGTTGTCTGCTCCAAAAGTAATGCCTCATATTTTATAATTTTGGCCTGAAATGTCTAAGGTGGATGTTGATGGTGTGGCAGTAGTTGCTGAACTTCCCATCGATAGTCCATTACATTTTGTTGTCATGTGACACATGAGAGCAGAGGGGCAGTCTGACCAAATGGTGTCTGACATGGAAGTGCAGATGAAGCAAAAACGTGTCATTGAATTCCTCAATGCAGAAGAAATGGCACTCACTGACGTTTCATTGATGCTTGCTTAACGTTTATGGGGTCCAAATAGTGGATGCACCCCATCACTGTGGAGTGATGGGTGGTGTGTTTTGGCAGTGGTGATAGCAACATAAAAGACCGATCACATTGCAGACAGGTGTGCAGTTTTACAGTCTCAGCATGTAGTCAGTCTCCTGTTCATTGCTGGCAAAAATGCAGAGCTAATAGTGGTGACTATGTTGAAAAATAGTGAATTGTAGCTGAGAACTTAATCTGTCAAATAGTGTTACTGTGCTCTTTGTATCTGTAGTTTTCATGGAAATAGGTAGGAGGCATTACATTTGGACCAGCCGTTGTACCCCATCTGGAAAGCTATTACAAAACAAGAAAGTGAGATTAAAAAAATGCCTTAAGTAGCTTGATTTGAGTATGAAGGATATGTTCTAGGCAGCACATCTATTAAATTCTTTTGTGGTTTTTTGGTCACTTCCACAATTATCAGAAACATAGCAATTCATCTTCCCTAAGACTGACACTTGCATGTGGGTAAGCAGGATTTAAAAGTACTACAGAGTTCTACAAGAAGTAAAAAAAAAAATAAATAAATATGCGAAGCTAAGGATAAATACACAGATTACTTACAAAGTATTAGAAATGTATTTTTCTTTCCAAGTATATCCCATAAGTTAGCTGCTCATGTAGTAAGGCATATTAACAGTCTGTATATTAAATTGAAAGCTGATAACATTCAGAATTTTCTTCTGCAGCCTGTTGTTTACTATTTAGTAAAATGGTGTTCATTGCCATATGAAGACAGTACGTGGGAGCTGAAAGAAGATGTAGATCAAGCAAAAATAGAAGAATTTGAACAATTGCAAGCTTCCAGGCCTGACTCAAGGAGATTGGTAAAATTATGCCTATTTTACTGTCTGTCTTGGCAAATTAGATTTTATCTTCTCCACTGTAAACTTCTGTGTTAAAATATAAGACGTACTGACATTCTGTGTTAAGGATTTGTGAGCTTACCTAAGTTACCTAAGGATAATATTTTCATCTAAATTGTAACTTGTTAAAAAGAATAAATAAACGTTTGGGGGAAATATGAAGCATTACAACTTTCTAAGCTTTTAACTAAGTGATGAGCAACACATTGAAAACGGCTATTATAGAATCTAAGCACCATTAAGATGAGGAGAAAACAGAATAAAATATATTTATCCTCTTGAAACCCAAGTGCAGTCTTGTGCTTTAGCACTAAAGGAAGTTGACAAGCAGGCCTGTCAAACAGATTCCATAATTACTTCCTGCTTTCATTTTTCTTCTTTTAATAACAAGATAGCTGAAAAGAAGAAAAATACATGTAACAAGGAAATGTGTGTTGTCTTTAAGTTATCAATCTTCCCTCTCAGAGTAGGAGGGGGAAAAAATACTACTTCTATTTAAAGTCCTGTATATGTCACTGTCGTTGCTTACCCTGACTTAAGACATAGGAGTGGTACAGCACACTTGCTCTAATTATTTTTTTATGTAACTGATTATGCACAGTATTTTAATTTGTAGGATTTTATTTTAATCTTCTTTTGTCTACAAATAATGACAGTAGTCATGGCTAACCTCTTAAGATGATATTTTTCATTTTAATGGTATTTATTTAAAACCCTGCTATTTTGGCGTTTGAGAAGGCCTTGATAACATACATCTCTGTTACTGTATTTGACTTGGAGAGAAAAGATTTAAGTGCAACTGTACTACTGATAGCCATGACAGCATCAGCAACAAGTATTTTTTGTTCCAGCTCCAGCACATACAAGGAAGTATTTGCTGAGTGCAACCCTGCCAGCAGGAGTGTGGCTCCTCCTGGTGTGGGGATGTGGGCAGATGCTTGCTGGTGGTGGAGAGGAGGAGGCCACAGCAGCTGCTGGGAGGGGAAAGCAACCCCTGCTTGGGGAGGGGGTGCCAGAGGATGCTGACAGTGGAAGTACAGAGACATGGAATAAAGTTCCAAGTTGCCAGATAAGGTTACATGAGTCAAGAGTAAATGTAAGCTTTCATAAACCATGGGAAATATAAAAAGTACAGCTGATCAGAAAAGATCTTACTAAAACTGTTTTGCTTGAATTTGTGAATTTGTTCAAGCTGTAACGTAGAGCTACTTGAAGAGAGTGTCTTCTGCTGGAGTCCTACTTAGTTGCAGTAAAACAACTTCATGGTTTCTTTGTTGGGTTGCCTGCTATAATTTAATTGCCAGTCTGTTGAGTGCCCAAGCTTGGAGCCAGGGAGATTAAGATAACATATTTTGATACTGTTAGTCTGTTGTTTTGTGTCCTTAATATTTTTATAGTATAATCTCTAATTTTAAAAGTATGTGACAGCATCCCAGTTTAAAAGCTAAGAAATTTCCTTCTAAATTTAGGTTGCTAGGCTTGAGAAAAAGTGAGTAGAACTGTTTGGGGGGGAAAAAAAAAAAAAAAGTATGTGCTAACTTTCATACTTGTTTTTCTTTTAAAGGACCGACCACCTCCAAACTCGTGGAAGAAGATAGAACACTCAAGGGAATATAAAAATGGCAATCAGCTCAGGGAATATCAACTGGAAGGACTTAACTGGCTTCTATTCAACTGGTACAATAGGTAAATGCATGGATTTTTTTGTTAACATAAATGTTTTAATACAGGGAGTGAGTGTTATGAGGAATTAATACTGTTTTAACTAAATTTATCTTTGTTTCTCTGCTTAGAGCTGAAAAGATACAATGGATAAAAGAATTGCTCTTCCTTTGAAACTTTGAAAACTATGTTTTTATCAGCAGGAATAAAAGAAAACAAATCAAAAGAGAGTCAAATTCACTGAAGATATATTTTCAGTCATAACGTTTTACTGCATAGTTGTATGATCTACAAAAAAAATGTTTTCAATTCTCAATCATGCTCTCCTTAGCTCTGTGAGCATGTATGCTAACAGAGTGAAGAGCTGGAATATGTGGCTGAGCGTGAGCACCCAGTGGTACTTTGTGTAGTTGTTTGATTATATGCCTCAGCTTTGGTTTTGGAAATGCAGGGGAAGTTTGGCACTGATGCTTTGTTTCATCCTGTTTGTGTAAGGGTAGCTGGGATGCTTTGTATTTGTGGCTTGTATGGAGTCTTTATTGGTCTCTTGAACATTCATTATGGTGGGCATGCTTACAGGAAAACTGATTAATTCGAATTTCTTTAAATTGGGGCAGATGTAGTCCCAAAAAAATAACCTCGTGATATTTCTCTGGGACAACCTAGCCAGTGCTAAACATGATTGAAAACCGTGCTTTTGTGCATCAACTTTTTCTTTCACCAAAACCAGTGAACATATGAGTGTCTCTTGCAGTACCTCAATTCTGAGTATTGTTTTGAACTGGTATATTTGAGCTTCATTTTACAAATTGTCCTTTTGAGTAACAGCTTGAGCACTGTACTTTCTTTGACCTGAATAACAAATAAATGTATTTTACTTTCAGACGAAATTGCATTTTAGCGGATGAAATGGGTCTTGGCAAAACCATTCAGTCAATTACATTCCTCTATGAAATCCTCCTGTCTGGTATAAGAGGGCCTTTTCTGATCATAGCTCCACTTTCCACTATAACAAATTGGGAAAGAGAATTTCGCACGTGGACTGACCTTAATGTTGTAGTGTACCACGGAAGTATGATCAGCAGGCAGATGATTCAGCAATATGAAATGTACTTCAGGGACTCCCAGGTATTGTAACATCACTTACATGCACTGTCTTTCCCAAAGCACATCTCAGGTAGTAGGGCTGAAAAGTATACTTTATATTAGCTGTACATATGTCTTACAGAAAGCCACTTTACATCCCACTGTGTTTTTTTAAGCTTTTTATTTCTCTAAATCTTTACCATATTCTTACTGAGTAAATTTTGTGGAAGTGGTTGCAGCAAGATGTATGATGCTTTGGTATGCTGAAAGGAGTTCTGCAATCAAAAAAGTGATACAGATAACACATGTGGAGATTAAAGTGTATGCAGACAGTTGCAGTTGGAGACTGAATGAGAAGAGCAGTAAGAAAAAAAATAGAGCTGATTAAACTGTTTTCTTTATATAGCTATTATTTTCATTTCTGTACTGTAAACTAGCCTTGCTTGTGTACAGTTTGCTTTTCTCTTATTACTTCACATTAGCATTGTCTAATCAGATTTCACGGGTTTTTTTTTAGTCTTCTTGTGCCACTTTTATGTATTTTACGTAGGCAAACATTAAAAAAAAATCATCACGTTTCTATATTACTGGTAAAGCAGAAACTTATTTTTAGGTAGCTAAAATTATTAAAAGAATGTTTTCTTTTCCCTGTGAATTGCTGTGTACTATCTGTCTTATTGAAAGCCTTCTGTATTCTTTATCAGACCAGTGTAGTAGATCAAGCTAGGTTAGAAGTGTTTGTTTAGCTGTCAGCTGATATTTTTTCATACACAACTGTGTGAGTGCTAACTGTCACATTGCTGTCACATTTTGATGGGTTGACTCATTTTTTTGTCAGCCTTTCAGATTTTTACAGGATTAAAAATGTAATATTATCTACATGCATCCTCTGAAACTATTAGTAATTCATAAGTGGTTAGAATATACTGTTGGTTAGATAATACTGAATTCCTTCTGATGTTGTATAGATACAGAATGTGCCTAGGCTGATGAACTAAGTTATAATATAAAATCTGGTATCTGTCTTAGAGTAGAATGTCAACAGAATCTTTAAATTGACTTGATTCAATGTAACATAACATTTTGCATTGATGAATCTTTAGGGACGTATTGTTCGAGGCACCTACAGATTCCAAGCCATTATCACAACTTTTGAAATGATTCTTGGTGGCTGTCCAGAGCTGAATGCAATTGAGTGGCGATGCGTTATTATTGACGAGGCACACAGACTGAAAAACAGAAACTGCAAACTGTTAGAAGGACTAAAATTAATGAACCTCGTGAGTACTGCTTTTCACTTCTGTTTTTTAATTCCACTTGTTTTCTGTAAAAATAATGTTGTAGAATATGATAAATCACAAGCTTGTTTATCTGTCAAAAAAGATGTTTTAAGCAGTCTTTCTGTGAAGAGGCAGGTTCCTGAAACACTCTTCAAATGTATGTGTTATTGAGACCTGATGGTTGTGTAGTTTTGATGGGTAAAAAAAAAGTCTGCTAAGCTTTAACTGTAAGCAGAATCTATTTGTGATGATAGTGTTTTAAAGCCTGTTTTGATTCCCATGAAGGCTTCCTTTAATATGGTCTCCTTAATCCTAAAATAGTGCTAAGCAACTCCTGGAATTTGCTAAAGCAGACCTATTATCTAATCCTGTAGTTTGGATTTTGCTTGATATTCTGGGAGCTTTACAAAAAGCAACTACTACTGTGAGTCTTAAGATTTTTGGAGCATTACTATAAGGTACTCCATAACTGGGTTTGGATTGTTCTTTTCTCCAAACTTGACTTATTTTGATCCACTCATCGCTACGTGTTGTCAGAAGTTCTTTGCTTTCTGATTTATGTTTACTGTTTATTTTTCTCACTGTGGAGAGAGGGCGATTATATTTGTGTGAAAATTGCAGGCCAAGTTGGAAGTATTCATTTATTCATTATGGCTGAAGGAAGACAAGATTTAAAGAAAAGCTAGTTGAAAATACTTACTATTCATCTACTACTAATGCATCTATCACTGTACTTAGTAAAATACAGAGCTGCTAATTTCAGGTTATGACATTCAGACATGATAAAAATTTCTTAGCAAGTGTTTGCACATAAGTCATTTAATTTTCCTTTTCTAGGAACATAAAGTGCTGTTAACTGGTACACCACTGCAGAACACAGTAGAAGAGTTATTTAGTCTTCTTCATTTTCTTGAACCATTGCGTTTTCCTGCTGAATCAACATTCATGCAAGAATTTGGAGACCTTAAAACAGAGGAACAGGTATTGCACATTGAATTAGTTCATCTTGAGTTTGAATGTTTGAGCATGTGACTTGTAGGAGAAACTGTTGGTTTGTATAGTAACCATTACTGCATTAGCAACAGTTAGAAACTGACATTACTTGGAACAATACTCTGATAAATTTTAAAGCAGAGTATAAAGTGCAGAATTTTAGTTATTTTCACCTTTTTTTGGATAGACTTTGTAAATATAGCAAGTGAATAGGGAGAAGAATAAAACCTGAGATTTTCAGGCTCTATAGGCAGTTTGTAGGCATGATGTTTTTGGAGTGTATCAAATATTTCTTCAGTAATGTGAGGTTAAAAAAGATATCCTACCTGGAAAACATTTTATGTATAGATAGAAATAAAAAGCAGTGTTAAAAAAAAAAAGAAAATTGTATCTAACTACAACTCGTGTGTTCCAAAAAACTTTTGTTTCACTCAGGTTCAGAAATTACAAGCTATCCTGAAACCCATGATGCTCAGGCGATTAAAAGAAGATGTAGAAAAAAAGCTGGCTCCTAAGGAAGAGACAATAATTGAAGTAGAACTAACTAATATTCAGAAGAAATACTATCGAGCAATCTTGGAGAAAAATTTTGCTTTCTTATCTAAAGGAGCTGGGCAAGCAAACGTACCAAATTTGGTTAACACTATGATGGAACTCAGAAAATGTTGTAATCATCCTTATCTCATCAAAGGTAAGTACTTGAGAAATCAAAATTGAATTCAGGTTTTGAACTATTTCTGTACTTTATTTAAACTACTTAAGAACTAATGGATGAGATGAAAAGATTTTTAACAGACATTAGGCAATGTGTAACGTAGTTGCGTGTTTGAGACCTGAAATGTGAACTTTTTTTGTAAGGCTTCCCAAGATATTTATAATTGATTATGATATGAAAATGTTATACCTCTTTAAAAACAGCATTAAGAAAAGCATCTAGAGTGAGCTTGTAAAAAATATTCTTCTTGCAGATTATATCATCTGTGTCAGTTTTTGGTGCTTTTCTCGCTTTTTCCTACTTGAAAGAAAATGCATCTGAAGTTCTTAGAAATTTTACTGTGTTTTCAGTCAGACTGGGGCTTCAGAAGAGGTCTTCAAAATATCACTCAGCACTCGTGTCTTATTTCAAATATCCCCGCTGTAAAAAGGACTTTTTAAATGACTTTCTTACCCAACACTTGAAGAAGTTGTATTTTTCACTTTGCAATTTAGAGATACTCAGTTTTAGATGGTTCTTTTTTCCAATGCTGTTTTACTTAGGAATGTAAGACTTCTTTTCAAAAAGCAGAGAAATAAATGTTCTTAATAGACACCAGGTCCATCCAGACCTGTTTTGTCTCCAGCAGTGGCTAACCAGGGTTATATAGACTATATAGAGGCATTGTTGTGGGTTTTTTAGTAGCTTATTCTTATATGTATGTGAACAGATTTATGTAGCTTATGCCTGTTGGTACCAAGAGATATTCTTTGATAGGTGCTGAAGAGAAGATCCTTGGAGAATTTAAAGAAACTTACAGCCCAACTGCTCCAGACTTCCATCTACAAGCAATGATCCAGTCTGCTGGTAAATTGGTTCTTATTGATAAACTTCTTCCAAAAATGAAAGCAGGAGGCCACAAGGTCCTTATCTTCTCTCAAATGGTGCGCTGCCTTGATATTTTGGAGGATTACCTTATACATAAAAGGTAATACTGTGCATACTGTGTAGTTTATTGGTCTCAGTAGACATTTTTGGATGTTATGGGAAACAGCATCCCAAAAGTAGTATTTTTTGTTAACTGTATGCCATCTCTGTAATTCTGTGGTTTTGTTTCATAGAGCTACTTACTTGAACTGATCTAACATTTGGTATTTTGTATTTTATATTTGTTTAATATACTACTTTGAACTTCATAGTAATATTTAACAATCCAGCATGAAATGATTCCTTTTTCTTTACTAATACAACTAGATCTAGACTAGTATATCATATCTACAAGTACAATCTTCTGAAATCCACAGAAGCTGAAACTTGCTTTATGCTACTGTTTGATTAGAAATGTTAGCAGGCATACGTGGTAAGGCTTCGTATTTAGCTGAATTAATGGCTGTAGGAGATGGCTGCTTGCCAAATAGCCTGTGGTCCTGTAGATTATCTGCTGTCCCATTTCATGCCTGATTAGAAGAAAAATAGTTGTGAAGCTTTTTGGCTAGCTGATATGCATTCAGCCTCCATTTACAATTTGTGAAAGCACTTACTCCCTTTTTTAAGCAAGACAGAGGCGTTTTATTTGATATCTGAAGTTTTATTGGAGTCTTCATAATTATCAAAGATAAGAGAAGTGATATTTTTACCTTGGCCTTCTAATTTTGCCTCTTTTAGTTGAGGAAGTCATAAATTCATTGATGCCTTGATAAAAGGCAGTGAGAGGTACTGTGAAGTTCTTTTTGTTCTATTTCTCCTGCTCTTGACAAAATCCATGTGTGGTTTGTTGAATGACAGCTCACCAAGTACTTCTTTGTAAAGGTTACTCGGTTACCCCTATCATGATCAGACAATTTGGTATATAATTCAAAAGTACACTGCCTGCTTCTGTACCACAGGCAGTGTTTCAGGAATAGCACATGAAAAACTTCTAAATACACGTGTGAGCCTCCAGTTTGGAGTGCAAACTAAATGCCATGGTAATACATGTCTAAAGGTATGTATTGTCAGATAATTGTTCCGATGGACAAAGAACTTGTCTTAAATATTTGATGTTAGGGCTTCCTGATGTGTGTTAGTAGTACAAATAGGCAAGCTCCATTCTGACTTCTATTATCAGAAGTTAGCTCATGACTTTTATTCACTGTAAAAATAAATATGCAGGCAGGAGATCTGTTCTACTTTAAATTACAAAAATTTTTGCAATTTTCCATGCATGTGACAATTTCCAGGTACTTATATGAACGAATTGATGGACGAGTACGAGGCAACCTCAGGCAAGCTGCAATTGACCGGTTCAGCAAACCAGATTCCGATCGCTTTGTGTTCCTTCTCTGCACCAGAGCTGGTGGTTTGGGGATTAATTTGACTGCAGCAGATACGTGCATAATTTTTGATTCAGACTGGAATCCTCAAAATGATCTGCAGGTAAATGCATTGAACATTGAGACCTGAAGAGTCAAACTTGATTGATATGAATTTGAACACTTGGACTGTTCAGTCTTTATTTTGAACCTGCATCATTTTTAAACATTCTAGTGTTCCTAAGGCATATGTTTAATGTTTACTGACGAGTGCTTTCTACCTACACAGATGAAACCCAGATGACTTCATCTGGTCCTGACTTTCTCTTTTAAACTGATTACTCTTTTACATGCACAGCACAATGAAGTCTGAGTCCATAAAGATTTTGATGACATGAAAACCAAGACAGCACTAGAGATGGATTCTGCATATACTGAGTAATGCAGTATATAGAAATTAATTATGGTGCATGGTAAAAAGCAGCAAATCAAGTTTAGGAGTTTAAGTAAATGGTCACTTGATTTCTTTGTAAGCTTGTACTGTTATTTTTAAGATTGTGCTCGAACAGGATAAACTTCTTGAATCTTATGCTGTTCTTAAGTGAGTTTAATTTCTTACTGCTCTTTATCCTTTCTTCAAAAGGCTCAAGCCCGTTGTCACAGGATTGGTCAGAACAAAGCAGTGAAGGTCTACAGGCTGATAACTCGTAACTCATATGAAAGAGAGATGTTTGACAGAGCAAGTTTGAAGTTGGGACTGGATAAGGCTGTCTTACAGAGTATGAGTGGAAGAGAAAACAGTGTTGGTGGTGTATGTAGACTTATTTTCTTTTTAAAAAAAAAAAACAAAGAAAGAAAATTGTAGTCATGTGGGACCTACTGAAAATCATAGAAGTTGGCATTTTTCTATTGCCTGTATCTCTGACATCCTTTTTAATGTGACTAAAAATAGTTGATATGACTTAGTAGTAGTAGCAGTTATTCTGAAAAGTCTTCCCCTATTTCTTGCCTCTTAAGATATGAGGTAAATAATGACTAAGTTAAAACAATGAGAAAAGTTTCCATTTGTATCTCTTTGTCTTCCTGCATTAATATGTGGATCATCAATAAGATGAGATTTGAATCTAGTATCAAAGGATAGGTTTGAAATCTTCTATTCATCAGAGTATTGAGTATAGCTACAACTAGAGACAGATGCATGTAAAAATAAGTCCATAGCAAAGTATTTCAGCTGTTAACTAGACTTATCTCTTAATGATCAATAATTTAGATATTTAATTTAGAATTTAAGAGCTAGGTTGCAGAAGCTTTGAAATGAAGAAGAAATAAATATCACTTTGGGGGGATTTTCCTAGGCTTTTTTGACGCGTGTTTTATTTATGCAGATCCAACAACTCTCTAAAAAAGAAATAGAAGACTTGCTTCGAAGAGGTGCGTATGGTGCCATTATGGATGAAGAAGATGAGGGCTCCAAATTCTGTGAGGAAGACATCGACCAAATTTTGCAGCGGCGTACCAAAACTATCACAATTGAATCAGAAGGAAGGGGCTCCACATTTGCCAAGGTACGGAAGCAGCAAGTTGGTCTTTGACAGTATAGTTCTGTACGTGTTAAGAAAAAAAAGGGCAGAAAACAATTTCAAAAATGTATGTAATTCATACATAAAAATGTGTTATTATAAATGTATTTAGGATCTCTTGTATCTTGCTAATCATGGATTAAGTAAAAATCTAAAGAACCAGTTAAGGGAATGTGATCATCTCTATCTTTTCATCACAAGAGTTGGAAAGAAATATCTTTTTTTTTCTAGAAGCAGTGTGTTAGTTTTTTAAAGATCTTCTGAAATGTAGCGTATTCCATGCTCTCAAGCTTTGATTGTTGGTAGTTTAAATAATCATTTGAAATTTCCCTCAAGCGAGTAATTTTGCATGAGATTAAATCCCCAAATGCTGATAAGCCTCTTCAAAAGATTCTACTTTTTCCATTCGAGTAATTTAGATTCAGACTTAGCAGAATAATCTTGCTGCTTTATGTTCTTCTCTCTTGGTGGTACCTAAAAGTTCATTAGATTTTTCTCATTCATTATAGGTCAGAATTGAAAAAATTAAGGGGGAGGAGAACTTTTGAATTACTTTGCACTGTTAAGTAACTTCTAAAGGCTTAGCAGCAACTCAGGAGATTTTGTAGGAATAAAGTTATTCAGTCTTCCCAGCACTGGGGCACTCAAACCCTACAGACTTCTCATGTATGCTGTTAGTAAGATTTAGTTTTATGTTTTGCAGGCTAGCTTTGTTGCATCTGGAAACAGGACTGATATTTCTCTAGATGATCCCAACTTCTGGCAGAAATGGGCCAAAAAAGCAGAAATAGATATAGATGCTATCAGTGGCCGAGTAAGTACTGTCATACTGCAGTTTTTTTCAAGTATGTCCTTGCTGTTTAATTCTTAGTTAGCAATGCAGAATTTTTGGTGTGCATCTTTTTTTAATACTTTGATGTGAATTAGTTTTTGTGGTGGTTAGTTTCGACATAGGTAATCAACCATTGATAACTTCAGTAATTTCCTAGCTCCCTGTTGTCCCAAAAGAGTGTGGGCATTTCTGATATATTTTATTTTTATATATATATAAACACACACATATATAAATTTATTTATTTAAAAGTTCTGAAAACAATTAGAAGCGTGTAATTATTCTGATTACTTTCTTTCTCTGACTGTGAACCCCATTCTGGAATCTGCAGAATGGCTAAGTGAAAGGCATAATGTCAGTTTTATGATGCTGGAAGCTGTGACTAATGCTTGAAGACATTGCCATGCAGTCAGTTCCATACAGGTTTCATTGACCTTTTTTACTGATATAGGGTAACATGTAGTGTAAGTATTCAGTTCAGAGGAGGTATTGAGTATGGTTTGTAAGCAGCATGCTGGTATCATGGTACTAAAGCTTTTGTTGTTGTTGTCTTAAATACCACAAAATATTATACGTGCTATACACAGGTATCTTCAATGATACCTTTGCACAAGACCTATTAGTAACTTTAGAGACTATTCATTTTTAAAGTAAATTCACCTATTTAAGAAAAACTTACTGACTGTTTCTCTAATGAGCTTTGCTTGAAATTTTACAGAACAGCCTGGTTATTGATACCCCACGAATTAGAAAACAAACAAGGCCCTTCAGTGCTACAAAAGATGAACTGGCTGAATTGTCTGAAGTGGAGAGTGAGGGGGAGGATAAGCCCAAACTCCGCCGGCCTTGTGACCGTTCCAATGGATATGGAAGAACAGAGTGCTTTCGGGTGGAGAAAAACTTACTGGTCTATGGGTATGGCATATAGCATTCTTTGTTCTAGGAAACAATAATATTTTAGAAGGTGTTTATATTTATGGAGTGACAAGCTGGCATAGATCTTGACTGGTTAATAAATGTGCGTGCATATTCACTTACATATAGCCTTACTGTTTGATGTGATCCTAAGCATTTTAAGATTTACGACTTTTTGCAAAAGTTCTAAGTCTTGTATTTCAATGAAGTTTGAATAGGAACTGAAAAATCTAACCAGTCATTTATAGCATACTTAAGTCATGTGTTAATTTTGTAAATAAAATCTTAGGTCTTCTCTCACCCCACCCCCTCACATGCCCCCTGAAAGATAAATGACTGTATTAGTCATTATGAGTTCTCCTGAGTTTTGTGTCTTAGAAGCCTAAAACTATATTTTTTTGTTTAGAGCAAATTTTGTTTAGAGCAATTCTAAACAGTTTGTTGGGGATGCTACTTTCATAGTTAAACAGAAGAAAAAGTGGAATTCCTCCAGGATTTTTAGCTTTCCTTTTCAAAAACTAAGCCTGCAGGCTTCTGTAGTGTACAAATTTTAAGTGCTACTGTGTGTTTTTCTTTGGACTAGGTGGGGTCGATGGAGAGAGATTTTATCACATGGTCGCTTCAAGAGACAGCTAAATGAACAGGACGTGGAGATAATTTGCCGAGCTCTCTTAGCCTATTGTCTTGTTCACTACAGAGGGGATGAGAAAATAAAAAGTTTTATATGGGATCTGATTACTCCAACAGAAGATGGGCAAACACGAGAGTTGCAGAATCATCTTGGTAAGGTATTTTTTGCAGTTAAATAGCTTCACATACACTTACCTCTGAATAATGCTATAATCAAAGCTAAAAATTCTCCTTGAAAGTGTGCTGCTTGAAATATACAGAATTTACTCCAGATATTTATATCAATTGATGAAAAAAGAAGTTTCCTTTCTGCTTTGCTTTCATTTTGATGGCAAATCAAAATGCCAAATGGATTGGTATACTGTGTGTAAGCTTTCTTTTCATTTCAATTCAGAAGAACCTGTTCTTTGGCATTGTAGTTGACAACAGGTTCTTTCCCCCACTCCTTCTTTGTCTTTAGTTTGTGAAATGTATTTGAGAGATGCTCGAGAGACAAAACAAAGAAAAAATGCCTCCCATTGAGAAGCTGTGAGGATAGTGTATTTTCTGTGTTGCAGGTGACAGTATTGCGGTAGGATTTAGTAACAGTAACTGTCACAGGGGATCTGTGCCTACCTGTTGCTGTTACTGTATCATGTTTTGAATTACATAGGCCTGTCAGCACCTGTGCCTAGAGGAAGAAAAGGAAAAAAAGTGAAGACCCAGGCTAGCACTTTTGATATACACAAAGCAGAATGGCTTCGAAAGTACAATCCAGAACATCTGTTGCAAGATGAAGGATACAAAAAGCACATAAAACACCACTGCAACAAGTAAGCAGCAGTTGAAGTGTGAATGTTTTTTTGCTCTTTATGTGCAGATTTTTTCTTCTTGTTCCCCGTTGTCTTCAACTTTAAGATGCTCTTTGTTTTGCTATGAAGAAACAAGATTTTATGGTGTTTATTAGATTAGGTGTTCGTGTTTAAATCTGTTTTCCTTTACAAAAAGGAAATATATATATTTAAATGGTGAGGGGCTAGGCTGCTGAGAATGTGAGCTGGCTTGCTTGACTAGTAACGATGAATGAGCTTATTTTAGATAAAGGAATACTCTATAAGAAAACTTGTCATGCTCTGCTTGCAAACTTGATACAACTGTAGTCAAGAACTGAGATAAAAACAAGGAGAAGCCACGTAAATTAAATTCCTAACTAAGGAGGAATGAAAAGGAATATAAAAGATGTTTATTGTCAGCTAACTGAAATATTTCTAAGGGAATCTTCTGAGTAGGAAAAGGGAAATATTAGTTTGTTCTTAACAGTATTTTATGAAGCAAGTGAGGGGTATTCTGCTGGCTCTGGATGAAAGATTTTTTTGTGTGTGTGATGAAACACCAGCAATAAAGAAGTGCAAGGTGGAGCAACTGGAGCTTGTCTCCTCTCCTAACTGAAGGAAGTATGTTTGAAAGTTTTGTGGTGTTATTTAAAAAACAAATCAAAACTTTCAGAGTACTAATACATGTTTCTTTTTTTTCCCTTTAGGGTCTTGCTTCGAGTAAGAATGCTGTATTACTTAAAACAAGAAGTTATTGGTAATGAATTTCAAAAAGTGTTTGATGGAACTGATGCCAGGTGAGCTATATGGAGGCTTTTTTTGCTTGTTCATTTTAAATGTAAACTTATCAAATGAAAATGAAGTCTTCCCAGACCTAAGTAAGAGTAGTTGCGAGGAAATATTTGAGTATTTAGGCTCTGAGAGAAGTGTTTTCATTTGCTCTGTCCACAAAACGCTTTGTATCTACTTGATGTGAGGAAGTCTTGGCTACTATGAAGTGGGAAACCTATCGATATATAGTACCATTAAAATTAAATAGACTGAAAAAGTAAGTGAAAGATGAAATAATATACCTTACATGCTAGCTGGTAGGTTTTTCCTTGCATCTTTCTGCACATTTCTGATTAAGTGCTGCATATTCCATTATTATTTTTTACTTATCTGTGGAAGTACTTCTGCATGGGAATTCTTGCACTCATAACTTCAAGAATTTGTGGTGGATATAAAGTTTTAATTTGATTCAGAAAGCTGTTATAAATATTCACAAAGAAGTCCATCTCATCCCATTGAACACAGAAGCAGATAATTTTTGGCTTTTTAAGTTTTGTAAATTCAAACTGCCAACTCGAAGTTGGCAGAATATTCAGAGAGAGATTATGATATGCTGTTTCTGTTTCCATACTCTTTCTCTCTTAGTGGTCTCTGTCAAATATAAAGTACCAAGTTATGTGTCTTGTGTTATTGTTTTTATTGATTATAGAAGTGAAGAAATGCGTTTCTCAGTTTCTTTAGATTATCAAAACCATTTTTAAAGATGAGCTACACAATATAGCAATAATGTATGTACCTCATAGTAGCATGGCCTTACATTTGTTAACTGTTAGTTGCTTTTAAATACCAAAGTGAAATTAAAAATTTAATGTTTCAATCCTGAGAATCTTTACAGTCTTCAAAACCTTTGAATTAGTTTGTTGGACATGGAGTGTGTTGTGTGTATTTGAAGAAAGTAGTTTGAAAACCCTATATAGCATACAAGTTCCAAAGAAGAAAAAGAAAAATGTGTTGCTCCCTCTGAATATTACTGATGTTGGTGCTGTTGGTGAATCTCCATAGTGAAATTGATGTTTGGGTCCCTGAGCCAGATCACTCTGAAGTTCCTGCTGAGTGGTGGGATGCAGAGGCAGACAAATCCCTTCTAATTGGAGTTTTTAAACATGGTCAGTAACACAAATGACTGCATGTGTACTCTCCCCCTCCCCCCAATACAAATGGCTATTATTTTTTTTTTTAGTTAACTTTAAAAGTTGAATTTTTGCCTTTTTTTTCATTTATAGGTTATGAAAAATACAACACGATCAGAGCAGACCCGGCACTGTGCTTCTTGGAAAGGGTTGGCAAGCCAGATGATAAAGCAGTTGCTGCTGAGCAGAGAGCAAATGATTATATTGATGGGTAGGGGTACTTCAAACTGGGCATGAATGCTTTGAGTCCATAATGTAAAAGAGACTGAATTTGTGTGTGTTGTCGTTCTCTTCTTAACTGGCTTCATACTAGTTTTGTGTCATTATTCTGAAGAATACTACAATAAACAGACTTAAGAAAAGTGTAACAGAAGTATTTAAATCCGAAATTTCAGAGTTAAGGAAAAATATAGCAACCTGGTGTTAAAAGGACTGTGCTTTGTGCTGCTGAAACAGAAATATTCATTAGGTTGTGAAGTTCCAAGAGGCAGAGTATTACAGATCTATTTCAGGTTGATCAGCTTGGTGTAGTATTTTTGTGCTGTTAACCAGTGACCCCAGTAGATCAACTTGAGTACTACTGATAAGTGCAGAAAGGGAGAGCTTCCTTTGTTCCTTGCTTAATTGGTGATACTAGCAACTGTACTCTGAGGAATAACTTGGAGAGAGAAGCAGCTTTCAAGTCAAAGTTGCATGAAATGTTTTCCTTGCTTCAAATATAAGATTTAACACAGTGTATGTAACTAAATTTAAATGAATTTTGTTTGTGACTGAAAGAGTGTAAGCTTTTCAGAATATTAAAATAGTTTCTTTTCTCTTGAAATTGTAACAGGGACGTTGAAGATCCAGAGTATAAACCAGCACCAGCAATGTTTAAAGATGATATAGAGGTATAGTAGACGTCTATAATAGCTCCTTTTAACACACTTAGAATGTAACATTTCCACCTTTTTTTGAGCAAATCAGTACGTTTTTCTATATTTGTCTGAATTCATAAGCCTTACTCCCTGTTTCTCTGTATTTGGGCATGGGGAACAGGAGAAAATTTTTGTAGAATTCTGTTGTGTGCCTTGTTAGCCATTTATCCAAAATGCACATTACTGTTGTTGTTTGTCATACTTGTTAGAATGAACTTTTTGTGGACAATTATCTAAATCCCTGGGGACGGATATGTTTTTTACTTTATTTTGCTTTTGTTTTTCTACAGGATGATGTTTCATCCCCAGGTGATCTAGTAATAGCAGATGGAGGTAAATAGACACAACTTGAAATCTGAAACTTAATTTTCAATTGCTTAATTCCCTTGGCTTTTAGCTAAAATGTATTTAGATTGCCTACTGTAGAACCATAGGCAACAGCAACAATTAATTTTTTTTTTCTTTTTCCCATCACTCTGCTTTTAATATAGATGGGCAAATGATGGAAGGTGACAAAATCTATTGGCCAACTCAGTCTGCCTTAACAACGCGCCTTCGCCGCCTGATAACAGCTTATCAAAGAACAAGTAAAAATAGGCAGGCCCAGCAGATCCAGCCAGCATTCCCAGTGCAAACTAGTATGATGCAGCCTCCATATGAAGAAGTTGCTCTAAATCCAAAGATGGCTGCTAAAATAGAAAGACAGCAAAGGTATATGCATTATACAATTAGAAGAAATAATTGCTGTTAGCTGAATGATATGGTGAAGAAAATTACAGTATTTACTTTTTTCCTTGCTGGTAAAGGTGGACAAGAAGGGAAGAAGCTGACTTCTACAGAGTTGTGTCCACGTTTGGAGTGGTATTTGATCCTGAACGGGGACGATTTGATTGGACCAAATTCAGAGCTATGGCTAGGCTGCATAAGAAAACTGATGAGAGCTTAGAGAAATACCTGTATGCATTTATGTCAATGTGCAGGAGAGTCTGTCGTCTCCCCTCAAAAGAAGGTGGGTGTGTGCTTTTGTATCCTTAGTTTTCTCTTCAATTTCTGTTGTTAGTGTTTATCATGAAATCACATGTTCCAGAATAAAAATGGAGGAAAAGAAAATAAGGAAAGATCTTAAGTGAACTGTAAAATTGAAAGCTTACAAAGGCCAATATATCAAGTTACTTAAGCCATGTACTTCTGGTGTTGATTTGTGGTGGTTGTATTTGTGTTTGTTTTTTTTTCCCGGATTCTCATCTTCGTTTTGCTTTATTACAGAACTGGTAGACCCAAACATTTTTATCCAACCAATTACAGAGGAGCGTGCCTCTCGGACTTTGTATCGCATTGAGCTTCTAAGGAAGGTGCGAGAACAAGCTCTTAGACATCCACAGTTGTTTGAACGACTAAAGCTATGTCAGCCAAACCCGGACTTACCTGTCTGGTGGGAATGTGGGACTCATGACAGGGATTTACTTATTGGAGCTGCTAAACATGGGGTTAGCAGGACAGATTATCATATTCTTCGTGATCCTGAACTCTCATTTATGTCTGCGCAGAGGAACTATAGTCAGAACAAAGTGGCACTGTCAAGGACTTCTACTCCACTCTTACATCAGTATCAGATGGCATTATCTGCTTCTCCTCTTACACCTCAGTCAAGATTGCCGGATGCTAAAGTGAATGCTCTTGAGGACATGAAAGTTAAAAATGAAAATCTGAAAGAGGATGCTCAGTCATCTGAAGAGGAATCTATGTCTACAGAGGAGACGCAGACAGTAATGAAATCTGAGCCTCTGAGTCCAAAAAATGGTGCACCAGTACAAAATACAGAACACAAACCTAGCGTGAAGATTGAAACAGACAGGCGCATGGTTGCAGCAAGGACAGAGCCTCTAACTCCAAACCCAGCTTCCAAAAAACAGAGAGTCAGCAAAAGAGGATCGGACTCTAGCTCTGACTCAGACTCTGACTCAGATAGATCATCCTGTTCTTCCAGGTCATCTTCTTCATCCTCTTCATCTTCCTCATCTTGTTCACACTCTCGATCAGGCTCTAGTTCTTCGTCATCTTCATCTTGTTCTTCAGCATCTTCATCCTCATCATCTTCATCCTCATCGTCGTCGTCGTCATCATCATCATCGTCTGAAGAGAGTGATAGTGATGAAGAGGAGGCACAAAAACGTGGTATGTGTAGTCTTATTTCTGAAGTACAATTTTCAAATTGAACAGGTTGACTTGTTATGGAAAAGGTCCAAAAAAAGGACATTAAATCCTGCAGAAGTAAATGTAAACATTTGATTATTCAAGTGAACTGAAGAATTGCAGATGCAGTTATGTTTTATTCAGTGCCTTGGATTGAGGTAGTTCAGCTTTGTTGTCCAGTTCCCTAAGCCAGCATACACTGCATGTGGCTCATGTATGGGAGGAGAGTTGAATGGCCACTGTTTTCTGGAAGTGTAATTTGTGTATGTTCCCTACTACTGTTTCTCTTTCTTGCTTAATGCAGAGATTCTTTTGGTTTCCCTGTTGTTATTTTTTCACTCTTGCTTACCTGTCTGTATAGCTCCCTCATTGTGTTTCTAGGAAATCTGCAATAATTCTGTACAAGTTAAAGTGATGTAAGCTATATTTTCTTGTAAGTTGGATGTGGCCAAGCAGTGTACTTATGCTGAAAATTTACAATTTAACACATTACTTTTAGAGATGCTACAAACTGTACTCTTGCCATGTTCAAAATTAGAATGTGAAAAGGTTTCTCTAACCTATGATAACAAATGGTAATAGAAAAGTGAAGAGAACAAAGATAGGCAGTGGCATTACAGTATGAGGTAAATAAGCTGATTTTTTCCTGATAGCTCAGGCAAAATGGTGCTGTGTGGTTAGATGGATCCTTGTGTTTGAGGAAATCACAGATGGAAACCTTAGAGTTAACTTATTGGGAAAATGATTCTTGGGCAAGTGACACCTAGACAAAATGATGAAACTGCTGCCTGTAGCAGTGGAAGGCTGTATTCAGAGGAAACAGTTGTATGAAATTTAAAAACAGTGAGAGGAAAGGAAGGAGTAAATGACATAGCTATTTCTAAATGGTGAATACTAAAACATGTGCTGCAAGTCAAAATATTAGGCTCACTTTCTGCCAACTCAGTCTGTTTATGCAAGTAATCGTGCAATCTTCAGATTGCAAAATCTTGTAAATCAGTCAGCCTTCCTTTTATTTTGGTTATTTCATTGTAAATTGGAATTGAAGAGATTGGAAAATGCAGGAAAACTTTTCTCAGTTTCTTCTGAACTTGTTTTAAGCCAGGTTTTGTGGCATAATATTCTATGATGGTCATGGAACCTTTGGCTTATGTTCCATATTGGAAACATACTTTAAGAGAGGGTTTAAAAAAAAAAAAAAAAAAAAAAAAACAACCAAATGATTTGATACATGGCCATTCCAAAGGACAAATCTGAGTTCTGTAGAATTGTCCCTCAACACTCTTGCTCTTTTTGCCAACTTAGTATTTTCCTTTTCTGGAAGCACCCTCATTCAGTTCAACTGTTTTCCCATGTCAAGTGAAGCTTGTATTGTCTGGATGGAGGAAAAAGAAAAATAATGATGAGCATTAAAATGAAGTCTGTGGACATACTGGAAAGTTACTAAGGGAAAAAAAATCTCTGATTAAAGTGATTCAATTCTGCAGAGGCACATTTTCAGGATATGTAAAGTAGAGCATCGAGTGTTACATCCAATAACAGAAACAAGGGCACTTTTGTAACTAGTATCCCAACAGATCTGCCACATTCTTGTAGTAGACATCTTTTTGTTCAATCTGATTCTTGCTTGCAAGTGAAATACATTAAAGTAAGGACTGCCTTTCAGCTTATTCTGTAATGTGCCCATTTTCATTTTTATGTTCTCAAAAAGTTAACAGAAATATGTAGGAAATGTATATGCTTGGAAAAGTATCAGCAGTCCTACTCAAATCACCAATTGCTGAGTATAATTTTGTTCGGTCTTTCTCTGAACATTGTTTTACATGTTGTTCACCTGAGCCTTCTTACTATGAGTGTTTTTTTTAACTTCCAACATGAAGTTATACTGGTGGTTTTATTTAGCAGAAGGAACTCCTCATATAAAAGCATATGATGAAGAGAGTGTAGCTTCTCTGAGTACAACACACGATGAGACACAAGACAGTTTCCAGATGAATAATGGGACACCAAATTCCAGTTATCTCCTACAAGGTGGATACATGTTGGCTGCATCTTACTGGCCAAAGGCAAGTTTATCATATTTGAAAATGAAGCATGTAGGGGAAGGTGGGCTGTCACACCAGTATTCAGTTAAATGTGATAAAACTATATCACAGCTGTGGGAAAATAACTGGGGTGAAAAAAAAAAAAAAAGAATGTTATTCAAATTCAATTTATAGTGAAACTGTATCTGTATATGAGAGAATGTTCACATAGGAAGCAAAACTTCAAAGGAAGCATGTTTGTGTCATCCTAAGTCATAAAGAATATTCTTTAGAGTAGTCTCTAAGTAAGAAATGAAGTAGAGTGAGTATTCACTTATGCAAAGTATAAAGAACTATTTGCTTAGAGGTAATTGGATGCCTTCAGCTACTTTGTGAAATTCTCAAGTCTTGCTTGGTATAGGCTGAGTGAAGCACTGATGTAACAACTTTAATGTTAGAATTTATATTATGTGATTCCTTATGTTGAAATTCTACAATGTACACGGAAAAGATAATAGTATTAATTGACTGTAAACTCATCTTTGAAATAAGTACTGAATACTGAATATTTCTAAGCTTTATAGTCATTCTGAACTACTGAACTTGGCTGACTAGCCCAGCTCACTTCTATAGTTAATTGTTGGCTTTTCATTCTTTCATAGTAATCTTTTTCATTTGAGCATTATGCTCTTTCAAGCTGTTCTTGAATAGTCAAAATCTGTGGAGTTTGACCTCTAGTTTGCATTACTCTTGTAAAAATGCTTTCTCTGTTTTTTAGGATCGAGTTATGATTAACCGGCTTGATAGCATTTGTCAAACAGTGCTGAAGGGTAAATGGCCTTCAGCAAGAAGGAACTACGACAGCAATACAGTGGCATCTTTCTACACAACCAAACTTCTGGATAGTCCAGGCGCAGCTACAGATTACAGTGAGCCCGGTGCACCAACACCCCCTCTTGCAGTTGTTAAAGAAGAATATGATCAGTCACCACAGATGTCAAAGGTGAAGAAGCATGTACGAGAAAAGGAGTTTACAGTGAAAATCAATGACGTATGTTTATTTTTATTGCCCTAGGACCTGATTGCGATTGCGGTGTGCGGCATGCTTTACCTGCAAGTGGCTGCCTGCTCTTACTCTCACTTCCTTCACACACTTGTTTGTGGGTATTTGGGTCTGCTTTTTCTGGGCATTGAGTATTTGGGTTTTTTTCGGTTGTTTGTTTTTTTTTTCTTTTCAGTTTTCATAAACCTCTGGAGGGAAATTTTCATGATTCTCCTCTCTGAGTTGAAATTCTGCTTCCTCGGCCAGCCTGTTCTATGCCATTTAAAAAAAAAAAAAAAAAAAGAGTATATGAATAATATTTCTGCTTTTTGGCTTTTTTTTAACATTTCAGCATATCCTATTCAGCAAGCACTTTCTCTTTTTCATGGAGGTTTAAAGGTAAATTTTACTCTTTGAGATGCAGACTGGATGCTTCAAATATATATTTTTTTAACCTGTATTTGATGACCTGTTGATAGCACATAATACAAGAAACTTCCCCTTGTAATTGAATTTGCTTATGTTCGGTGTCTGCATTTTTTCAGTTAAGTGGGCAGGTAACCTAAAATTTATAGGCAATTCCGTGAAGTTTCTGTTCAGCTTCCATCATGTGGAGGAGGAGCAGGACTAGTTTTAAGGCCTGGTATATGGCTTTTCTTCTTCCTCAACTCCTCTGGAGTAACCGTTTGTATGTGAGAATCCTGATTATGAAGTTGTCATTTCTGCTTCAGAAGAGACACTTCTAACCCTGGGATTTATTTAACAGGAAGGTGGTTTGAAATTGACTTTTCAGAAGCAGGGACTGTCTCAGAAAAGGCCATTTGAAAGCGAGGAGGGTGCACTGGGACAGCAGCAATACCTGGCTCGGCTACGTGATCTCCAGAACGCTTCAGAAACCAGCCTTGTCAACTTCCCAAAATCACTTCCTGAATCAGGTATGTACTGTGAATTCCCAGAATGTCAGAAGGGTGTAAGGATTAGTAATAAATCTTCTATTCTCTGCTCTTCTGTTGATCTGCATGTATAGGCAGTGGAGAGAGATGCTGGCTGTGAAAGGTATTCTAAACTAGAGTTTAGAGCAATTCTGTGCAATGTGTTAGGGAGTCTAGGCACCTAAGTTGGAGCATGGAATTGGACCATGAGTACTTTCAGTCAGTTTCTGTGACCTTCATTTATTTGAAGGTTGCCATTATGTATAATAAGTCCTCCTGTAAGAAGACTTTAATTATTGTAAAGCGTATCACTGTACGCTGTAAGTAATCAGTTACAGTCAGAACGTACTGTGTCTAGTTTGGAAGTGAAGCTGTGAAGTTCCAGGCTTATGCCTGTGTTATTTGTTTTGCACTCTTCATATGGTTTCTTGTGTCTCATGTAATGAGAAAGTTGAAGGTAATAATCTGGAACAAGTAATTTGGCTTACAGCCAAACATTCAGAGGTTATTTCCATAATAAGCAACAGTAAGTTTACGTTGTCAATATAAAATGAGCTTGAATCGAACAGTTAACATTTAGATTAAAATATTTGTAGCATTTGTGCTGGGTGCTTCCTTTAGGTCAGATTCTGATTAAATGGCTGTAATTCATTGAGTTAGCATACATATGCATATGAAAATGTCTCTTAAAAATATCATCCTGCTATTTGTAGTTTTTTATATATTACATGCAGAAATTATCTGCCCTAGTACTGTATGAATTTCATTTTCTTTTATTATTCCAATATGCTTATCATTATAAGTAACTTAAGCATCTGACATAAATTTTGCTGTGTAATTTGGTTAGGTACTTCCAGTCACTTAACAGCCAGCGCCAATGGAGTGATAGTTGATAGTCAACCTGTGCTCAAAAAGAGAAGAGGGAGAAGGAAGAACGTGGAAGGAGTTGATGTCCTCTTTGTAAACAGAAATAAGCAGCCCAATCATGTAAGTAAAGTTAAATCTTTATCCAAAAATAAGATCCAGATAACTATTAATTCTATTAATTCCTTAACTGCACGTAACTGTCAATATTCAACAAAGAGGTCATTACTCAGCTGTTTTTTTCTGAAATTGTTGTGAATTTTGTCTATTGCTACACAAGTAAGAATTGGTAGAGTTTTGCTAAACTTGATAAATGTAAAACAAATAGCACATAACAAAAGTCTTTTTAAAAATAGTGTTGTTAAGCTGTAATTAGCAGCATATTATTAGAAAGTCGGTGTATGGCATAGCAACACTTACTACATCCTTTCCTGTGATAGGATCTGGTCTTAGAAGGACTTAAAGGGAGCTATCTTCACATGCATGATTAGTCTTTTTGAGTCCTTCAGGTTGTGTTTAAAGATCTTCAGGACTCTGGCCTTCATTGTATCATATATGAAGTAATTGTGATTTGTTTTCTGTGGAACGTTTAGAACCATGTTTTGAATTTCTCCAGGTAAATCCAGGTATTAACTCGTGTCAAGTTGCTGCTGGAATAAACCCAGCACTCAATTACACACAGTCTCAAGGCATGCTTGATGCAGAGAGTCCAGTTCCTGTTATTAACCTAAAAGATGGAACGAGGCTGGCAGGTGATGATGCTCCCAAAAGGAAAGATTTAGAAAGGTGGCTGAAGGAACATCCTGGCTATGTTGAAGATTTAGGAGCTTGTATTCCTGTGAGTATACTTTCAGATCAACTTCAACTAATAGCAAAACGTATCTCATAAAATGTATTTAAGTTGATAATGCATTTTGCATGGAAATATTCTTTATTTCTTTGCTCTTCTATATTGATTAGGAAGGAGGGTTGTTTTATTTTTCTTAAACAATTTGATTTTTGCCAAATACATTACAAATATCATTGCTAAGAAAAGTAACACTAAGAAAAGACATTTGATCCTTGTCTAGTTTTACATGGGATTTCAAAAATGTCTAAGAAGCCTCCTATTACAGTGAAAATGATTAATTAATTAGAAATTATAGGAGCTGAGAATAACATTGCAGCATAGTGATACAAAAGAGAATTTGTTTGAAGAATCTCATTACCTGCATTACAATGGTACGATAGTGATGGTGTGAGTATGACTTTCTCATGTTATTTCTTAATTAAAACTTGGTTAATGTGGCACTGTATTATTTACGACATTCTCTGTTGGACAAAGCACTGAAGCAGAAAAATACTTCTGAAAGCCACTTTACTATTTTAAAAGCAACTATATCAGGAAAATAATTGACTTTTTTATTCCTTTATAACAGAGAATGCAGCTGCATGAAGGGAGGCCCAAACAAAAACGACACCGTTGTCGAAACCCTAATAAACTAGATGTTAATAGTTTGACTGGTGAAGAACGTGTCCAGCTCATAAATAGAAGAAATGCAAGAAAGGTATTCATATTAACTGTTCCCATTCATACGTTTTCCAAATGAAAAGTTACCTGAAATGACAAACTCTTTAATATTTTAGCAGGTGTAATACTGTGTACAAGTAGAAGTTTTTGTGTACAGCTTTCTTGCAAAACAAGGAAGTCAGTGACAATCTTCTAGCAAGCACTTTATAACTGAAAACATATATAATACTGCTAGGAACTTACTTTGTTGTTTACATTCAGCACAAGTTGAGCACATTGTATATTGCAGTGTTTGTGCCATTGATTAATACAGAGGCATGCCCACTTATTGGTATGGCCCTGAAATTTGTTCTTCAGTGTTAAAAATTACTCTTCTGTACTTTACTGATATAATTTAACTATTGGACTTCTTAGAGCAAGTTTTTCAGAGAGAATTCTTATTTTCTGCATAATTTTAATTTGCTTCAAGATGAGCAGAAATTAGCATGCTTTTAAAAAGGACCCTATTTGAAATTTGAAACAAATTATTATAGTTTGTGTATGTTCTAATAAGGAGTTTCACACATTCTTAATTTTGGGCACGTTTTCTTATTTTGACGTTATTACTTCTTGATATGATTAATATTATATTAGTAGTGCATCCTTCATAGAAACCTGTCCCTTGGAATTACTTAAATCCTATGCATTGGATTATTTTGTATTTTTCCTTTCTTTTTTAGCTCTCTCTGCTATTCAGCCTTTATGGGTGACCAGTATATGTGTATATATATATATGTATATGTGTATATATATATTCCTTGTAAAGCAGATTGCTAGGTTAAATAGCAGCTTAACAGGGAACAAAAGCAAGAAGAGGATTTTTGTCTAAAATCTTAAGAATGGAAGATAGAAGGTCAGGTGCTTAATACAAGTTTTCAAATAGGTGATTACAGTTTGGGAATGGCATAATTCATTTGAAGATGGGATTTCAGAAAGGCTGAAAGGGCATATTCAAGAAAAGTATATAGAACATTGCTGTTTATGGAAGAAATGTAGAGAGACATGTGGGATGGTGTCTTTGAATGTCAGTGGTAATCCTAGAGGAGCAATCCAGAGAAAGTCTTTGAGGTATTGCATTGACATCTGGAGCGTTTTCTCCTGTTATGCTGCCAGCTTGTTTTTCTCTTACACAGTAATTGCAAAAAAAGCAGATTGTTTTTTATGCTGCTGTTAAGGTCAGAAGCTTTGGCACCTGTAGAAGAAAGCGAGGCAGAATTCGAGTCTTTAATCTCTTCAGTGCATTGAAAAGTTGCTCTGAAAAGAAACCTGTACAGGAGCTAGTCTCTTGAAAAACAGACACTTGACTTTTCTATAGTAAGCTGTGCCCTGAGGAATCTTCAGAGTTGATGATGAATAAATGAGGGATTTGATCTTAGCTTGCTGTAAGAGCCTGTTTTCATGCTGGCTTTTTGTTCTAATAGATTTCCACCCCTTAGGTGAAACAGCTTCCTCTCTGTTATGTTTTTTATTCTCAGTTTTCTCAGTTTAAAAACTGCTTCCAACTTATCTGCATCACCAAAATCTTCAAAATTATACTTTGCGTAAACCAACAGAAATCAAATAAATGCTACATTGATAATTTTAATTAAGACTCTGTATTCTATTTTATGTAAAAAGCAAAAAAGGAAACAATGTCAGGATTGTTGCCTTTATTCCTTTTCAAAAGAGAAGTATTTACTGACTTCTGTCTTCTGTTTCTCAGGTGGGGGGTGCATTTGCTCCCCCTCTGAAGGATTTGTGCCGGTTCTTGAAAGAAAATCCAGAGTATGGAGTGGCTCCGGAATGGGGAGAAATTGTAAAACAGTCTGTGAGTATTTGCAGAATGAGATATCTGTGACATGGTGGGGGGAGGCAAGGCTTTCACTTCTGATATTAAATTCTGTTAAATGTGGAGTATGAGTCAGTGTTAGCTTTTTTCAGCCACCTTGGCTCCCGAAAATGGTGTGCTGGCACAGCTGTGAGTAGGAGGAAGAGAAGGGACAGTAACTGTTAACCCTAAATTAGATATCAGAGATTTAGTTGAAGGTGCTATAATGCTGTGACATTTTAATCTCTTAAAGGTTACTTTGAAAGTTTTAAGAAGAGTATTGGGCTCACAGAATAGTTTCTTATTCTTAGACACAAGAAGATAAATATGATTTTAAATATGTACTTTCGCTTTTTAGTTGATTTAAGAAATTAATATCACCATAGAACTATTTCCTTCTTAGCCTTTCAGTCTTCCTAGAGATTGTATTATTAGCTAGAAACTAATGCCCTCCAGTGGGAGGGACCAAGGTTAATGTATGAATATGCTGTTAGGAGTAGGTCTGTACAACAACTTCAGTTTTGCCCATGCATTCCTTCTGTGTGGATTATCAATGGTTAGTGGTAAGAGCAGTGTGCTGCTTGGTTGTCCTACCTAAGTTTCTTGCTGGTAGCAAGATGTATTCAGAGAGTGGCTTTTTTCCAGATGCTTGAAAAAAGTGCATCTAAGTGTCTCACATTTGTAGGCAGATGTGAGCTCCTGTGCATATTTGTACATGCACAGTGTTCCATTCAGACCATGGTTAACATAAAGCTTACAGAAATGTGTGCATTTATGGACAGAATTTCTGCATGTTTGCCTAGATCAAATAACTGTAGCCTGAACGTTAAGTCTTATGCCATGCAACCATAGACATATAAACAAAGCTGTTACTGTATTCATTTTTCGTTTTCAATCAATTGTTAGGGACAAATATGGAAAACTGCTACAGAGGAAATAATATATATTTATGCAGTGCTTACATAAGGAGGGCTTACAGAGGTGAGGTAAATACTATGCAATCCTAAAAAGAAGCTATCTGAATTTCATTTTAATAGAATTGCACTTGAGTCTCTATTGTTCATTCTTAAGTTCATATGGATAAGGTGAAGTATGAAGACATTAAGCAGAAAGAAGCACTTTTTAAATTAAGCAGTGGCAAAAGAGATGATTGGAATGTGATCATACCGCAAAGCAATGCCACGCTTTAGATCTTAACCTAAGATTGCTCCTCCGATTAGCTCTATGTGGTTTGTTCTGCACATAATCCTCAGATGATGAGTAAGCAGTGTGTCTGAAAAGGTGCCTCCTTGGTGCCCACTGTTGAACTGGGACTTTAAATGTTGGAGATTGCGCAGATAGCCACCTCCAATCCCAGTCTAGAGATGAAGCTGCTTTGCTAACGCACCCGAAAACTCTTTGACACTGTTAGCATATGCTTGGTTTTTGTGTTTGTTTTTGTGGGCTGTTTTTCTTTAACTTCTACATCCTTATGCTTTCAAATTACTAAAATTCACACTGCATCTCTTGCAGGGATTTCTGCCAGAAGGTATGTTTGAGCGTATTCTCACCGGGCCTGTTGTGCGGGAAGAAGTAAGCCGGAGGGGAAGGCGCCCCAAAAGTGAGATTGCTAAGGCAACAGCAGCTGCAGCTGCTGCCACTGCTGCAAGCGTATCAGTTAACCCTCTGCTCACCAACGGATTGCTTCCGGGAGTGGATCTGTCCAGTCTTCAGGCCTTACAACAAAACCTGCAAAATCTGCAGTCACTGCAAGTAACGGCAGGATTGATGGGAATGCCAGCTGGCTTAACTACTGGAGGAGAAGCTAAGAACATGGCTGCCATGTTCCCCATGCTGCTGTCAGGGATGGCTGGATTACCAAACTTGCTGGGCATGGGAGGACTTCTGACAAAGTCTACAGAATCTATTTCAGAGGATAAAAAGGGAAGTGACTTGAAAGAGGCGGATATAAAGAAAGAAAGGACAGAAGACCAAAATACAGATACTGGTGGTGAAAACTCTGTTTCAAGCTCTCCTTCAACATCCTCTGCTGCTGCAGCTGCCAATCCTCTCTCTCTTAACCCATTACTTTTGTCCAACATACTTTATCCAGGGATGCTTCTCACTCCAGGCCTTAATCTTCATATCCCAGCTTTGTCTCAGTCTAATATTTTTGATGTACAGAACAGTGAAAGTAATGACACGGGCTCAGCCAAGCCTACGGAAGAAAAGGAGGAAAATTCTCGGGTTAGAGATCAGGAAGACAAAGGGGGAACAGAGCCAAGCTCTCACAATGAAAACAGCACAGATGAAGGTTCAGAGAAAGCAGATGCTTCATCTGGATCTGATAGTACATCGTCTTCATCTGAGGATTCAGATTCTAGTGATGAAGACTGACCCCAGACTCTGCACTTAAATTATGAACTGATTTTGAATTTATTCTTTAATTATTTCATTGTAAATAACCCAGTGTTGAGTGCATCAATGATTTACTGACCGAACATTTCAGTATTTGTTTAGAAGTGCAAACTGCTTTCAGAGACGTTTTGCATGTAATATTTCCTGAAGTTCATAAGTTTCTGAACTTGTATGTACTATCAAATACACAATGGTGTAAAATTACAACAAAAGGCATTATAATTTTGTTGGGGGGTTAATTTTATGAAAATAATGCTCAAGAAAGAGCTGTATATTTAATATATTTGCAGTGAACACAGAATACTTTATGCATATTATTGATTTAATTTGAATATAGTTTTACAGCCTCCTTGACACTTATAATTTACAGATCAAAACTCAGCAATAATTTGGGCAGCTAATGAATGTCATGAAAGCTGTAGAATCTACATCACCATCCATTGCTTTAATTACATGAAAATGCTCTAGTGTTGTGATGCACTGCTGTTTCCAATTCAGGTACAAGTGTGTTTAAAAGAAGATAAATTTTTCCCAATCAGCCAATTAAACTGGCTACCTGTTACCTCAGCTGAGTTAGTTTAGGAAGTTTACATTGGTTTCTATTACTTGTTTTCAGGTTTTGTTTTGTTTTCTAAAGACATCTTGTATATCATGTTAAAATCTGAGTTGAGATAGGACTGTTAGTGGTTTTTTTTCCCCTCATTGTGACTGTTCTCTTTGACAGCAGTAAGGGGAAATCAAACCAAAAATGGTCTTATCTCATGCTACTTGGCACCATGTAGATCTATTTAGTTTACACCTTGCAAAGTTTTGGGCTCCCTCTGCAGAATTAGAAATCCCAAAATGAGGAGTAGTTGCCCCAAGACTCAGAAGAGGCAAACTGTCATAAGTGCCACTGAAAAGACCTTTCAACACTGCATACTTCATGTAAAAATTGTTTGTTTGCTTTGTTTGTGTAGATTTCTATTTGTGTTTTATGTCATAAAACCTCCCGGAGTTACCAGTTAATAATGGTAAATTAAGTATAGGTAGTTTTGAACTCCTTTTGAGTTTAAACTTCTCTGCAGATTTAAATCTGACTAAATATTAAATATTACCCCAAATCATTATTGGGATATCACTTCATATGTTATGCTGAGTTACCCACTAAAAAAAAAAAGCACTTTGAATAGTAAGGAAGACAAATTATTCCTAGAAACCACAGTAACAGGGCATAAGGCATCTGTTTAAGTCCAAAACCTTAGAACCCTTTACTATATAAAATCTGTCTAATATTTGATGTGTGATCTGATTCCTCCTTCTTTTTAAGCTGCTATTACTGTGACACAGTAGAGGCCCAGATTCACATTTACAGAAGTTCTGAACTGACTGAGATTTCAATTGACCCTTGTTACAGCATTTGCGGTCCAAGAAAAGGCAAGTGTTAAGAGAAAACAGATACAGGTACTAATAGGAGTCATTGAAAAAGCTTTACAAAGGGATAAATTTAAAAATAAAAGCAAAACTGTATATTTTGATATAGTTCTGTTGCTTGCTTGTACAGTAAAACAACTGTGTTGTTTTGTTTTTTTTTTTACCAAGAACTTTACCAATGAAATATAAGTTTGTATGTGCAAAATAACCCCATGATTAGAAGCAGTGTTACATGTAATACACAATTTTACAAGTACCATTTGGATTGTGCTGGTTACGTATTTTCCCAAATAGTATTCTGATTTTTTGGCCCTTCATGCAGTGTCTTAGCAATAGTGAAAATTCAAAACTGCTAAGAGAAGGGGGTAGCAATTCTTCATTGTGGAAAAAAAAAAAAAAAAAAAAGTATTGCATATTTAATACTTTGCCCTTTGTAATATAGCACTTTTATTTAACTAGGATGATCTATGAAATAGCCAAAGTTTTACAAACAGTTGTTAACTTAGTTTGCTGATGGAGCACATCAACAATACCATCACTTCCCACCCTTACCCCACAAAAGAGATCTTAAATCTTGTGGCTAAAACCTAATTTATATCAGATTTATGAAATAAAGTATTTTCCTAATTATGCTCAAGTGAGTTTGGTTACCATTCTAGTGATTCTTTCTATGTAATAAGGCAATTATAGTTCCAAGTAATGAAGGCTGGTGTAGACTTGAACATAATATATTGGGTTTATTTTTCATCAGTTTGAACCAGAAGGGGAAAAATGTCCCACTGTCAGCTAGACTATATGCAAAAACGGTTGTATAAAGTTAAGGGTTATAAGGAAACCTCAGTAGAATTACACTAATACTGAAGTTAAGATTAAAAGGATATCCAAGGTGATGATAAAGTGTGTGTTGGTAGTTACTAAAAGAACCTTAGCTGTTATTGCCTTGTATTTCTATCCCTTGTTTCAAGCTTCATGATCCAAGTCTTAGTCCAGTTTTTCTTTTGGACATTTGCAATATTTGCCAGTTGTGTTCTGTGTAGTCTGAATTTGCTTTCTGTAGTTGAACAAGCGTCTTAAAAAGTCATTTGTAATTTATTGAATTACTTTCTATGATGTTCTATAGAGCAAATGGAAGTTTAATTATTTTTTATTAAACATATTCTTTGACTACCCATGATGTCAGCCTCAATATGTAAAAAATAATGCTGTGTAAGGATTAGATATGCATCTTTCAGCAGCCAAAAGTTAAGCTTCAGTGTTAAGGTCTAGAACTGAAATTACTCTCAAAACCTTTAAAAAAATCAAGCCTAGGATGTCTATTTTTCTGCAAAACCAAATGTTTTACTTTGAGTATCTTTTCTGGGAATCAGTTTCAATCAATTTCCTGTAATTCTGTCGTCTTACAAACAAAAGGAGCTGATGCTGCAGCTCTTGGGTAGTTGTGGCTAGGGAGTAGTATACAGTCAAAGTTCTGGTAGAATGTTGACTTGATATGAAATAATGTAATGTTCCAGGGCAAGCATTCTGGAAGTGGACTGCCTTTTTGTGTTTTTATTTTCAAAACTCTGCTTTACTTTTTTAATATGTTTATTGAACTCTTAAGTTTGGGCACAGCACTTACTGTTTGTCATTTATTTCACACAGGCTACGGATGCTTCTCCCGAATGCAAATTATCTCCTGGTTGTCAGGTGCTTTCTTGTTTTCAGTACATCATTGCGCTTCAATTGTGGTATCCTTCTTATGTGTTTCGTTACAAGTTCTTCCTTTCTCAGATTTGTATGCAGGTGATAAAAATGCATGTATGTATATGTGCCCTGTTCCTATGTTCTTCCTCATTTATGTTCTCCTTAAAAGCCCTGCAGAACCCCTAACAAAACGGTTTTTTCATCTGTTTTTTGCAGGTCTATTAGAGAACTGTCACAGATTTAAATATATATGTATATAAATATTTACCTGTGTGTGTATATATCTGTAAGTATTAGTGCAGAAGCAGCACCCTAACAGATACGTATGTTTGCTTCGTTAGCTTCTCGGGGCTTGTGCAGCTTTTTCTCCTGTGGTACAAATAGGAAGTTTCAGCTTAAACCTTTGAGAAGGAAGAGATAATCTAGCCTGTTAAATTTCTGCTGCTTAATTAGATCAAATTTGTGAGTAGTAAATGGGAACTTCTTACTGAAGAGAGCTTTTCCTAGCTTTTAGCTATTAATAGTAATTCTAGATTTTAGTAATGTTTGAGTTATCATTTAAAATCATGACTATTTACATAAAGGAAAGGTGTGAAATGTATTATAACTTAGTGGTGTCAGTAAATTATATTTATTACTGCTGAAATTCTAGCCTGCTGGAAGAAATGAGTGGTATTTTGATTATTTTTAACTCAGTATTTTAAGAACTCCTAATTGAAATAAGTACAAAGAGTTAGGGAAATTTTTCCATAAAATAAAGTAGGGTGAGGCCTCAAAACTGAGAAGTATGTAAATGTGAATATCTCAATTTGGAATTTTGTCTCGCAAACAAGTTCAGAACGTTGTGTATTCTCATGTTAGGGGTAAGTTAGCTAATATTCACGTATCTTTAAAAACAACAAAACACTCTGCTTAACATTAACTGCAACATTTCTGTTCACAAAGAAGCAAGAGCACTTCTACATAAGGCAAATGAAAACTATTTTTCTTAACCCTACCTCCTTTCAAGCTCTCTCAGTAGACACCACAAGAAGTAAAGTAAGTTCGGAGTCCTCATTGCTGTTCAGGTAAGGACTCTTAGGCTATTTCTATGTGTGAGGGAGGCTGATTTGGGAAATATTTGGGATCTTAATGTCAGATTACAGTGTTTAGTACTGGTGAAAAAGATTGAAAACTTTACAGTATATCCTCAAGCTCATTTCAATTCTCAAAGCAACTTTGGACCTGGTAACTATTGTTATCTCCTCTGCTTTTGTCCTAGTTCATCTGTTATGCTGCTGAAGTAAAGCAGGTGGTCTGAGCTTAGCTTTCTGCTCCTGTAAGGGAGGGTTTCTAACTCCTAATTCCAGGAAAAAAATGTCTATATATGCTGCTATTTTTATTTTTTTAATATAGCAATAATTGTGACCTGAATAAATAGGAATTTTGTCTTTTCAGTGTTGTTTCTGAGAGTCATGAGGGGAAGATGTTTTTTCCTTTTCGGACTGAAGCTGAAATCTTCACGTTTTCACTGGTCTTCATCCACTGTGGCTGATAGCGAAATATCAAGTGTTGGAAGATTCCTGGTTAAGTTTTGCACGTTGGCAAAAAGACATCAGAAGTATCAGGAGACTGCGCTGGGAAGATCTTAGGGAGAATACTGGAAAAAAGGTTTCTGTGATGCATATCATTTCTTCTTACACAAAGATTTCTGAGATTGTGTAATCTTGGACCTCTCTTACTAGGATGGCAGGCTTTAGTATCTAGCCTTATCTGGGAGTCCACCTTATTTCTCAGGAGGTAAACAACATTCGCCACTCCTAGTGAAGATGACTGAAACTTCTTATTTGGGGCAAGCACAGTTACAGCCCTGTGCTGTTACTGTTACTACCGTTTTGCCTCGATATTTGCTATGCTTTTCTTACATTTCGATACAAAACTGTAGCTTCTTATCCAATTTACCTGGGTAGAAATAAAATGGAATCCTGTTGTGAAAATGATGCAAGCAATTAACATGCCAAAAAAAAAAAAAAAAAAAGATACCTCTTGGTTTCATCATTCACGTTGTGTAGCAAGACACCAGTGCTGTTGCCTTGGTGCTCCCAGCTGTGTGACAATGTGTCAAGTCCTGGGAACAGCCTCAAGCTAGAGCCTTTTTCTTTGTTTTTCCCCCTCTCTGAAACTTTTATTATTGTTAGTTTTGGAATGGCGGTAGTAGAAAAGGCATTGTCAGTAACTGTCAGTATGGGTCTGCGGGGTGCCTGTATTCCAAGTGCCAAGGGCTGACCCAGCCCTTCAGGTGCTTCTGGGGACAGCCCTGGCCCTGCTGCTGGGGGTCAGCTGTAGGAGCTGTGCCGCTCTGTGGGAGCTGCCATCACTGCGGGCCCTGCGCGCACATCTCCCCGTGCAGCTGTTTGCTTTCACGCTACTCGGACGTTTTTCAAACTGCTGTTCTTCTTTGGTGGTCTAAACTTCTTGTACAACTCAAATACACTGTCGCTTGCTTTGATTTCAAATGTAGCGGTGTCGTGTGCTTGTTCACTAGCGCTGTTCTGTTATGTTCACTGATTTCGTGCGGTGATTCTGCCCGTTATCTAGGCACACGGCTGCGCCCTCGGCGAGGCCCCGGCTCCTGCTGCCCCGCTGCCGTCCCCTGCCCGCGCCACCCGAAGCCCCGCCGCCATTCCGCGTCCCGCGCTGCTGACGCCGCCGTGCTGACGCCGCGCGCCGCGATGCACCCTGGGATCGAGGTCATAGGCCGCGCCGTCGCGGAGTTGTGTCGTCACATCAGCGCGCTGCGCCTGCGCAGGGCCGCGAAGCGGACGGGTCGGGCTTCTCTTCGCCGTCCAATCAGAGGCGGCGGCTCGGCGGAGGGCAGGGGCGTGGCTCGGCGCCGGGGTGTTTGGATTCGAACGCGCGTCGCGAGCCCTAGGGGCGGCGGCGCAGGCGCAGTGAGCGGCGGGCGCGCTGCCCCCTAGCGCCGGGGCGCGGGATGTCGGGCGGGGAGGAGGCCGAGGCCGAGCCGGGGGCCGGAGGGGCGATCCCCGCCGCCCCGTCCCCGCCGGCGGAGGAAGGGGACACGCGGCAGCGCTACGAGGAACTCTGCAGCAGCCTGAACATGGACGAGCGCGCCCGCTCCGAGGCCTGGCTCAGCTACCAGAGCATGAAGCGCAACTACACGCTGGAGGTGCGCGCGGGGCCGGGCGGCGGGGCTGGGGGCTGAGGGCGGGGGGCGGCGTCGCCTCGCGGCGCTGAAGGAGCGCGGCCCGCCGTGTGGGGGGGGTGGGGTAACGGCCTCGTGCCGCCACGCGCGGCCGCTGAGGGGCAGCAGGGCGGGGCGGCGGGGCGGGGCGGGAGCGTGAGGCGGCTGCGGGGGAGCGCGGGACGGCGCTGTGCCGCTCGCCGACGGTCGGCTCGGTTGCGGCTCGGTTGGCGTCAGCCCGTGCGGTCAGCCGCCGAGTTGAGCGACCGTTGTGTGAGAGGGAAACGTGGGAACCGCGTTTGTGCCATCCCGCGAACGAGGGCAGAAGGACGCTTAGATAACGCGGAGCTGCCGTTATTTACGCCTTCTCTATACGCCGAGCTGCTACTGAGCCTCGTCGCCTCGTGGCCGATCCGTGGGCAGGGGTCACTTCCTGCCCTGCCTCACTGCTCGCACCGCTGCCTTGGCGCCGTGCCGCCCTGCGGACGCTCCTCTGGTAGCTGAAAGCACCGCGCGGCTACGGGGATTTCAGAACAAAAACGGTGCTGGTGCTGCTGGTGTTGCTGGTGCAATGCAGCCCGTTTGTGGCGCTGTCTCCACGCCTTGGTGCGGGTGCAGAGCCGCAGGTGCCCGGCGGCTCGCTGAGGGCTCGACGTGCATTGCGTTCTCCTTCGCAGGGCAACGAGCTGCACTGGCTGGCGTGTGCCCTCTACGTGGCCTGCAGGAAAGCCATCCCGACCGTCAGCAGGGGCACGGTTGAGGGTAATTACGTATCCCTGACCCGCATTTTGCGCTGCTCCGAACAAAGGTAACTCAGCTCGGCCAGTTTAAAGCACCTTGAGGAACGTAGAAATTAAGGACAAAGTCCGGATGTCTTTGTTAGAGATAAAATTTAGACTGCAGGGATCTGTGTGCTGTAGCTCAGTGCCACACAGGTAGGGTGGTTTTTCATTCATAAGTTCTAAAATTCATAGAATCATAGAATAGTAAAGTTACAAAGGACCTCCAAAATCATCTAGTCCGACCATTCTCCCATCACTGTTGCTACCACAGGCCTCTACACCACATTTCGTAGCTCTTCATCCAGACACCTCTTGAACACTGCCAGGAATGGCGACTCCACCACCTCCCTGGGCAGCCATTCCAGTGCCTGACCGCTCTCTGAGAGAAAAATTGGCGAGTTCCTATGCTCATAAGTGGGAGAAAGCGACCCATGAAGAACAGTCTGCTCCTAAAGAGTGTGCAGTGTGGGCTTCTCATGTGGGTAGATGGTTTTAATTGGTTCTGAAAATATAACTTTTCTTGTTGTGGTGAGAAGATTTTACTTTTTGTCTGTTAGTCTTTTATGAAACAAAAATAATACAAGATCCTGATAAACTTTTATCAAGTGATTGATTGCTCTGGGCAGCCTGGTCTGGTGGTTGGCAACCCTGCACATAGCAGGGGGGTTGAAACTAGATGATTATTGTGGTCCTTTTCAACCAAGGCCATTCTATGATTTTGTCCATTGAATGACAAAGAAAAACTTCCTGAAACTGATGCCGGCAGTATGATTGTGTGGTAGCAGTTCACCAGATTGTCAAAAACTGGAATGTTTATATAAACATGAAGTCCTCTTCCCCTTACTGTTGGAGTGCTGCTGTTTGTTGAAACAATCCAAAGAGTTACTTTTAAAACATTTCTTTGCTAACTGGAGGCTCAAGGAACTGAATACAGCGGAATAGTTTCTGCATTTTGGGTTATGAAAGATTGATAAAGTTGAAAAAAAATATGGGTAGAAGAGCAGTGAAAACCAGTGTAAACCAACGTTATGAACAGAAACGTTTGTAGTACATTTCCTTTATTTTTTCACAGTTTGTAGAGTCTTTTTAGCGTTCAACTGAGTTCAGATTTTGTTTTGTTCAAGTTACTTATTCAGAAATCTGACTTTATAGTAACTGGGCTGCTGGAGAGCTGGTTGTGTCTTTGGAGGGAAGCCAAGAACCACCAACATAGAGTTAACACAGTCATCAGTAGGGGCTGGCAGCATGCTGTGAGTTGTGTCAGCTCTTCCTTGTTTGTAAATGAGGAGCTGGCTCTGAACACTTGAGACTATTATTGTCATGTTTGCAATGTTGCTTTTATTGGTAGTTTGGAAAGTGTAAGTTGTATTTTTGCTGTAAATAAATATACAGTTATAGCACGTTTCTGCAAAACAAAGTGAAAACAGAAGCAAACAGAAAGCCAACCCTCTGAGATCTAACCTGTTCAATATCTTCAGCTTGATTGAGTTTTTTAACAAGATGAAGAAATGGGAAGACATGGCAAACCTACCCTCCCAGTTCCGAGAAAAGACTGAAAGACTGGAGAGAAACTTTACAGTTTCTGCAGTAATTTTTAAGAAGTATGAGCCCATTTTTCAGGACATTTTCAGATACCCTCAGGAAGATCAACCCCGTCAACAGAGAGGAAGAAAACAGAGGTATGGTTCTGTTACTGCCAGACTGATGTTAGACCATTATAGTTACAAAAACATGATGAAATTGTTTGGTTGTTTTAATTGTAATTTAACTTATCTTCATAGTAGTTCTTTATGGTACCAGAGGCTGGGCCTTGCTTATAGTGATTTTGGAATCTTGTTTCTGGTCTGTCAGATCTGACAGGGTGCATGAAGCCCCAAAGCTGATAAGTTTCTGTGATCTGGGGAGAAAGATAAAAGGGAGAGATGAAAATCAGCCCTTAGGTGAAAGAAATGCTATTATAGGGTGGAAAGGATGAAAGAATCAGATCACTTCATGATCTGCACAGCCTCAGTAGCTCATAGAATGGCTTTGCCTGATGACCTGCCTATTAATTCCTGTACTTTTCTTTATAGAGACAGGTCTTATGCATATTTTACTTTCTAGTGGAAGCTTTATTTTTCTGTTTCTCAGTTTCTTATCGTGCTTTCTTTTTGCCTTGATTGTTTTTGTGAGCATAACACGGTGGCAGTTGTAACTGATATTGAATTACAGATATATTGAGATGAATACATAATGTTGAAATTATACCTTGTATATAGTTTTGCAGCTAGAAGAGTAAGCCCTGCAGGTTTGTTTGTATAGCAAAGTGTGAACTCATTTTGAAGATTAAGTCAGAGGATAATTCCAAGTTTTTGTGTGAAATGTACACGATTTTAATGTTTAACCTGATGGAGCAACCAAAGAAATGAGTTCAGGCTGACAAAACTACTGCAGAAATTGAGAACATGACCTTGCTGTGAGTGAATTTGGCCTGAATGAAAGAAGAATTTCCAACTTCAGTATATAGTGTTAAATAAAATAAATAATACTAAAAACAGAATTATGGAGCAAATGGTGCTTCTAGAAACAGAGAAAACCCAATGAAGACTGTTATCATCATGCAGACTTTTAGCTTTGAGGCTCGCACCTGTCTTATGGTCTTAACTGATAGTGACACTTCAAATAGAATTAAATCTAGAAGGACTGTGATCATATTGGATAAAAGATATCTGTGCCACCTTCTTGTTCATACGTGCTGTCTGGAGGCTGGGATGTGGTATGTAAAATAGCACTTCAGGTGATAAGCTATATGGAAACAAGCAGGGATGTTGAGCAAAAAGGGGTGCTAGAGAAGGGTAGGGGCTTTTGCTTGTTTTTAAATGTTACTTGCAGTACATGCATAAGTATGGTTTCTAATTTTTTGGAAAAATAATAATAATTTAGATGAGTTGATTACTGTGCCAGGATTTTCCTGTTTCCAGCTGCAGTGGCTGAACATACTAGCCAGAATTATGAACGTAAATGTTTAGGATGGATGCTGAGGAAAACTGGTGTAAGTAGCAGCACTAAGAAGTAAATAGCCCCTGGTCGGTACAGAACTTCTGATGGACAGAGGGAAGGGCCTCATGAATGGCTAGTCAAAACTAGTAGAAGAACTTAATGTTGATAAACACCTCTATTTCAAAATTCTCCATAGTACGTAAAATTCTACGGGGAAAAAAATGCTTTACCTAAGTATGTAGGTGAACTCTGTGAGCAAACCGCGTTAATCCCAGCACGCTGTGTAACATATGCCTTGCAGAACATACACACGTGCTTACATTGCTCAGAATACTTCAGAAGGCATTCCAAGTGCGGTGCTCTGTTGGTGTAGTGATGTTTGAATCACGTGCTGGCTGAGGCTGGGGTTTCTGCTGTGTAGCTGTAAAGCTCTGAGCAGCCACGGTGTTACTTCAGTCAGGTTTTTGGGTTTGTTTTCTGGGGGAGGGCCGTGGCTTTAGCTGTTCTATGGCAAAGCTGGACTTTCTTTCAGAATGCTGGAATGTGTGTCTGTTTTAATTCACTGAGCTTCTTGTGTTTTCTCGCTGTGTTTTTCCCCAAAAGGCGACAGCCATGCACAGTGACTGAAGTTTTCCAGTTTTGCTGGGTGCTGTTTGTTCATGCAAAAGGTAAGAGATTTGAAAGGGGCTGAATACTACAAACCTGTTCTTGATGGTCTCTGTCAGTCTGTAAACATTAGACAGCTGCAGGCCCTTGGCAGAAAGGCCATTCTTGGAGCAGCCTGAACAAATGCACTTAAATTTCTACAGCTGTGTGTTTTACCACATGTCTGAGGTAAGCAGTAGCTTTAGCTGAAATACTGCTTCACTGTTTCCTGTGTTTTGGCGATTTAGGCTGTAATACCAAGGGAAAATTAGCTCAGAGTTTTAGTGAATTCGTATTTAGACAGCTGTAATTAATATGTTGTTTTATGTTTTATGAACAATGATGACTTTAAATTCCTTGTACGTTTCCAACAATGGTGATAATATATAATGGATTTTTTTCTGTAACACAGCAAAGATGTGTCATGAATCTGTAGCTGAGTGTACTTTCATGGCATTGTTACAGATAGCATTTGGATGTTTCAATCTACCCCTGCTCATACACACCCTTTAAAAATGTGCATATAGTAATTGTATTGAATAATCATATACATTACTAAGTAGGTCTGCATCTTTCTCCCAAGGGTGATTATCTGTTGCTTTTTGGACATGGCAGTACGTATGTGAATGGCTGGCTGTCTTGAAGACTTAGATTCCCTTGGAACATACATGTGGAAATGCTGTGTTAACAGGCTTCCGTGGAAACAAAGCAGGGAGGAGCCAGTATATTGCCATGCATCTATTGCCTCTATTGTAAAAGCACCCTTAAAGCTAATATGAATAGCAGAGGATTTCAGTCATTTTTCTTCTTAATGACTGATTGGAGAAGAAGACAGAAGGAAACAGAAGTAAATCCTTTTGCATAAGTGAAGCCCCCAAAGTTTTAGGCTTAAGTTGTTCAGTCATACAGCATAATCTACAGTCTTTCATCAGTAGGAATTGATTTGGGTACAGTAGGATGAGTTCACTGGGAATTCTTTGAACATAAGTTAGATAGTATTCTGGTCCATCTATAATTTCCAGAGAGTGCTTACATGAGAAAGGAGAGCTTGTGGGATTGTTTGGGATTGCAAGGTCAATCAGTGCAGGTTTCCTGCAGTGTGCTGTGATGTGTCTCATTTGTTGTTTCTGAGGATAGGATGCAGTAGGTTGTCCTCAGTATGGAATTTCTGGCAGTAGCTTTGTCCTGTACAGCTTAGCCTTTCTTTTCACCACAAAGCAGAGGGTTGCCAGCAGGCTTCATTTTGGAAGTTACTGGCAGTATCCCTGGATCTTTGTAGGAGTATAAAGAAGAGTGCTGTACCAAACAACTGTGTCCTCTATAGAAGCTGCTGCTTCTATATAGGCTGCATGCTGCTCCTGAACAGGCACAGAGGGTCTGAGCGGGTCCTGTTCCTTGCTTAGTATGTTTAAGTAGGTCACCATTAACTACATGTTGATTGGCAAGCAGTTCAGACATACAAATTAACTTTGTGGACTAGAACACAGTGTTGATAACAGCCCATGAAGTTTCATAAGACAAAAAATTACAGTACTTAGGAACTGCAAAATTAACAAGTGACTAGTGGTAAATTTATTAAGTGTAGCAGTACAAAAATGTGAACTATATGTATATCATTGGAGGAATTAAATATTTCCTATCTGTTTGCTGTGTTTTAAGGGCTGGCAGTAATCCTTATCGTGGCAACCACACATCAGCAGCAAGTTGAGGCTTGTCATGATATTTCTGCAAGCCTCAGCATCTTGTGTTTGGTTTCACAAGTGCAGAAAGCACAAGTCTTTTCGTACGTTTGGTATATGCTGCAAAGTAAGGTAGTGACCTTTATAGCCATGGAGCTGCTCTCATGTGCTACTTTCATGCATTTATTTACAGATTCTGTAACTTTTTACTTTCTTTAAAATAGAAATTAAAAAAAAATCTCTCTCCTACATTGATAAAACTGGTTTGTATTATTTCATGCTTGGCTGCGGAAGGGAGCACTGAACTGTCATTTGAAATGTCACTGACTTTACACGTTGTTTATGAAACTACTGGTTGTGTACAATGAGATCTATTTTGACTTGGCTGTCAGTAGCTACTGCCATGCCAGACTATGCTTATGAGATCCTGTTATGGCATCACTTTGTTAAGGTATTAATTGATTAACATTTTGCTGTTATATTTGTTCAGGACTTCAATTTCTGTCATGAAGTTTTAATGGTTTGGAAAGAACTGATGAAAGTGTACGGTTAATACAAATTATATTTCAGCTTCATTATTTTAAATAGTTTCAATTATCAACATTGAAATTATTGTTTCACAAACATGGAATCAGAAAACTGAACATAAATTGAACCAAAGCAATTGTACGTGCTTTATTTTAACTGTTTGTCCATTTTACTTGCTATGTTTCTATACAGATATTGACAATCTAGTCACCAAAATCTGTGCTTAAAATACTCCACTCTTGATTGGAAATACAAGTCTTGATAGTTTTGTTTTGTAAAATAATTTCAAGTCTGTGCTGATTTTAATTAATCTCATTTATCTTTCTTGTACCAAAGGTAATTTTCCCATGATCAGTGATGACTTGGTCAATTCCTATCATCTCTTGTTATGTGCTTTGGATCTAGTGTATGGAAATGCTCTCCAGTGCCCTAACCATAAGGAACTTCTGAATCCCAATTTTAAGGGTATGTTGGAAAAAAAAAAAAAGTCTTTATCTAAAATCTGCACAAACTTCTAAGGCAGTTGAAATGGACATGGAGATATGTAGTAGAGGGAATTATTTTCTCTGTTTGGCTACACAGTTTTATTTCTACCAGTGTGGCATAGGAACACATGATTGAGTTCTGTAACTAGAATACTAAGTCAGGAACTCAATGTACTATGGAAATACCACTGAAGGACTTCCAGAGGAGGCGTTTTGTTAATGATGTTTATGGCAGTGAAACTGTGTAGTGGCCCAGTCGCTGTGGGACAGGTCACATTGTAGAGACTCCAGGCAGCAGTTTGGGAAGAATCTGTGCTCAGATACAAAGCAGGCACCCTGACTGTTTCTCTCTCCCTTTTGGGTTGTTCCTTATGAAAAGAATGGAAGCATAGGCTGACTTGGTAACTGAAGGCATGAGTGAACGGTGAGAAGCTTCCTCTGAACCTGGGATGTAACTCTTTCAATGCTTATGCCTCATTTTCAGTATTGTATAGTATTTACTATCTTGTAGTAGCTTGGATGTGAACAGGAGCCATTATCTCCAACTTATTTGAATAAATACTGCCACACATAAGTGCTTCATCATTTTTCTACTAGAACTGATATTGTTTTTCACTGAATATCTAAGCTTTTTAGGTTTGTCACTTGAAAGGCAGTTTTGATAAGATGATCCAATTGAGGATGCATTGCGTTTCTTTCAAGGAAACAAACTAATTCAGTGTTTTAATTTCAAACTACCTAGGCTGCATAGCAAAGAATTTGAGTTTTGTAAGGTATGAATATACCAAATTAAGCAGTACTCTATTTGTAATTACAGGCCTGCCTGAAGACTTTCATAGTAAGGACTATAAAGTATCATCTGATCCTCCCTGCATCATTGAAAAACTGTGTTCGTTACATTACGGATTGGTTTTAGAAGCAAAAGGCATAAAGGAGCATTTTTGGAAGCCATACATTCGGAAACTTTTTGACAAGAAGGTTGGTCAGTGCATTCAGGATGCAGAAAAATGTTTCCCTCCTTATTACCTTCAGAACTTTAACAACTGAAATGTCCGTTCTTTGCTCTTACAGCTTTTAAAAGGAAAAGATGAAAGTCTGACTGGATTTCTAGATCCTGGAAACTTTGGAGATAGCTTGTGAGTCAGCTTGTGCTTTGGTCTGCATTTGTATCTCGTTGGGTTATTACCTGTGTCTTAACACTAATACTAGCTAGTTAATTTATATACGTATCACTGTTTATATATTATACTAAAAGGTGTTTCAGCTCTTTGATGGCTGAGGCATTTTCAGTATAGCATTGCTTGATGGCTGCTTCTGTTATATGTTTCCATGTTTTTTTCTATATAATGTAAAGTGTTTAGGAAGAAAGGAAGAAAAGGCTGTGGGGCACACTGAGCAGGGGGCAGGGAGGAGGGAAGAATCAAGTGTGGTAATATTTCATGCTTTTTAAACCCAGAAGTTTAAATGGTACAGAAATGATAAGTGCAGTTTATGATGATGTGATGCTGCATAAGTTCTGAGGAGTTTCCAGCCAAATACCACCAGTTCTCTGCATTGTATTGGATTCCTCCTGTGGCCATATGAAATGACAGGCCATCAGTTACAAAGGAAAAATAATGCCACTGTCATGTTTAAGGTATTGTAGGTTTTAACTGAGGCTACAGTAAGTTCTGAGGTAGCCTTCTGACAGGCCAGAAGTGTGTTCAGTCAGAAAGCAGGTAAAGAAAGCACTGTCTAATTAATGGGGTTTTCTCTCTCTTTTCCTTCCTAGCAAAGCCATCAACAAGGCCTATGAGGAGTATGTTTTATCAGTAGGAAATCTCGATGAGCGAATATTTCTCGGGGAAGATGCAGATGAAGAAATTGGAACTCTCACACGGTGCTTAAATACACCCTCAGGAATGGAAACAGCTGAGCGAGTACAAGTGAAGCATAATTTACAGCAACACTTTGACAGAGTGAGTTGGCATGGTCCCTTGCTGTTTTTGTGGTGAAGGAGTTGTCCAATTCTGGTGTTTCAGTGTGAGGTCATTTTGTCACTGCTACATTAGTATTTGATATCCAAGTGACAGATAGACCTGTTGCTGCTGGCTGTTACGGAGAGTGAAGTGGTTTGGGTTGTTTGATTCCTGCTCCCTTTTCCCAGACATTTATTATAACCAGCTAAGAAACAATTCTAGCACCTGCCTCCTCTGGGTCTCTTAGAAGCTCTACGTTTTGTAATAGTGTACAGATAGATGCTTTTTTTTCTTTTTAGTCTAAATCACTTCGGATGACGACTCCCCTCACTGGCCGCAGGTACATGAAGGAGAGCAACCCCTATGTGACACCTGTTTCCATAGCGACCTACAGCTTGAGCCGCCTTCACACCATGCTGGCAGGGCTGAAGAATGCCCCCAGTGAAAATCTGGAGCAAATCTTCAGGTAAGCTTGATGCGTAGCTAACAAAAAAAAACTGATTTAAAGGTGAAATTATAGTAACAAATGTTATTGGTAAATAGTGTGACTTTAAAAATTTCTGGAAGTCTGAAGTGAAATAGGAGCCAGAGGGATATTTAACTTTAGAAAGACTTTTGTCTTTATTTCTACACAATCCTTGAGAGATTGACAGCTGTAAGAACACACAATGTTCTCAACCCAACATTCTGAGCTTCCCTAACAGCAAACTGCAAATGCAATTTTTTCAAGATTTTTCTTATTAATTAGCCAGCTTCATTACTTGGCAACTCACTCTATACTGTAGAAAATTAAAAAAAAAATTCTTTTTCTCCATGTACGTAAGTCTTTGCCTCAGGTACAATATATTATAAAGCACTTTTTATATCACATGGAATATGTTGTTTAATATTAAACTCTTATGAAGAGTTGACACTGAAGTATATAATATGCTGTGGCTGTCTTGTAGTACATATGCAGCAAGGCATGCGTAGGTGTGTTTGCATTGCAGTATCAAAGATATTTTACAGCTTCATGCTTTAATTGTATTGTAGGTCTTTTTGTTGCTAGTTTCTTTTGTGTGTGTGTGTGTGTTTGTGTATTTGTGTTTTGTCTTAGCAGAAGTAGGACGCTGAAATAGCTTGTATTTTCAGGGCATGTTCCAGAGATCCTTCACAGTCTATTGCAAGCAGAGTAAAAGAAATGTATGAAGTATATTGCCAGAGCATGCAGTCTGAAGAAGAACTGAGTAACTTATCCAAAGGTGGGAAACATTTTACTTACATAAATAGGAACTCGTGTGCATTTAAAAATATTGATCTTTTCTAAGTAAACTTTGACTTATGTAGAGGCTGTGCTTTAGCACAAGACTCTCCTATTTCTTGTCTTTTCCTGCTAGTCTTAAGATAGGGCAACTTTCAACTCTGTATAAACTTTCATAATCATACTTGGCATAAATCATTGGAATTTGATGTGATATTCTTATGTTCTATAGAAGGGAGGAAAGAAAAGCATTCAGAAGAACTATTTTTCTTCTCTCAAATCTAAGTGTGCATTTCTATCAAAAAAAGTAATTAATTTTTTTTTAAAAATAGGAGCTATGCACTTTGTATCTGTGCTCATCAACACAGTTGTTTCACTTTGTCTTGCATTGTGTGCTTGGATCCCCACAGAGTTTTTCCAAACACTATATTTTCTGATCATGAAATACTTTTCATTTTAGCAGTATTAAGGGTTGTTCTTATATATGGTGGTTTTTTAATCAAGTTCTGAGTTCAGTACTAAGCTGCTGTGCTCTGCAATCACGTTTCAGTGCAATAGAGAGATTCCATGGTTAACATTAACCCTTGAACGTGAGTCCCATTTAGTCCTGAAAGCAGGGTAGCCACAGCTGCACAGAAATCCACACAAGCAAATAAACTGTTGTTTTATCTCTGTAATTTAAGATAAATAATGATTCTTCTATCACAATTCACAATATTATTTCTGTTTAAAATTCCTGCAGATGTGGCCAGCAAGCATTTTCGTCGTGCTGAGGTTCTCTACTACAAGGTTTTGGAGTCGGTCATTGAGCAAGAGAGGAGGAGACTGGGAGACGCAGATTTATCTGTAAGGACAACTACTCCAATTGCACCTTGTTTTTAAAGTCAGGTCTACAAAAAAGAAAATATTTATAGGACAGGATAATGCTATTTTAGATGAGTACTTCTCTTGAGTAGGTGGAAGGCATTCCTGAATGGAAGAAAAGCTGTCCAAGAAATTATTCACATTTGCAAACAAAAAGGATATATAAAATTTATAAAGAGTGAAGATGTCTTAATTTGGATTCTGTTCCATCATGTACAAAAGCAAATCTCTAGTTAAAAGCTTGGTAATCTTGCTGTTGAGGCGGAACAGAAAGCATTATACTGTTCTATTGTTACACTGTAAATTAAGCATTAAAATGGGCAACTCTCTTGCAGGCAGTACTGGAGCAAGATGTGTTTCATCGCTCTCTGCTGGCGTGCTGCCTTGAGATTGTCACCTTCACATACAAGCTACCTGGAAGCTTTCCCTTCATCACTGAAATATTTGACATTCCAGTTTATCACTTTTATAAGGTAAAGTAATAGCTAGAAATGTTGATTAAGTTCTGTGTATGCTTGGCTTATATTAAATAATCTCTTTATCTAAATGCTAAATTGTGTATTAACTCTTCATTCTTAGCATTGCCCCTTTTTGTCTTGAAAGTATTTTACAGCTGGTTTGGGCATTTAAAAATCAGACTACTGTTAATCAGTTTAACACAGGAGCAGTGTCCAAGTGACTAAGAATTGTCATTTATCTTGAGCTAGTGACCAGGGATCCTGAGCTGCTGCTGCAGCTGTTCTGCATTCACTGCTACTGTGGGAAGATACTGTACCTGTCTTCTGATAAACTTGCAGCCCACCAGACAACTGAACCATACTGACACAGTCTAATAATTGTACTAGTCTCTTCCTTGAAAATTTAGGATCTAATTTCATTGTAAGAAGAAATACATGAAACAAGTATTTTACACTCAGTCACTGATTTATTCAGTATTATATGGGCTTCATTGTTCTCTGCATTACAGGTAATTGAGGTTTTCATTAGAGCAGAAGATGGCCTTTGTCGGGAAGTTGTAAAACACCTTAATCATATTGAAGAACAGATCTTGGAAAGCATGGCCTGGAAACAGGAGTCCATATTATGGGACAGAATCAGAGAGAATGACAACAAAGTTCCTAGCTGTGAAGAGGTGAGCACTTCTCCATATTCTGTAACACGTCTCACGTGGGCATCCTGTTCAAACAGAATGGTGGAGAGTGGACATCAGCCTTGTATGCACAGAGTTCAGTTTCTCCCTACAAGCTAAGCAGGGCAGAAAAAGAGCTACATGTGTTTGTGTGTGACTTGTCACCACTGTAGAGATGTCCAAAGGCAGACATGCAGCTGAAGTGATTCTCACCCCATATTTGTATAGAGTAGCAGCACAGTGAATAATGAACACAGAGGAGGTATGAAACAGTCACACTTGAGAAGACTGCTACAGGAGTGTGGTTAAGTACAGACTCTTAATTATACTCACAGAAAGATTAATACAGGATTGTATTTTCTAGATTAGTACAATCATTACTAAGTTTTTAATTTAAGCTTACAGTAATTTTTCAATGTTCTTCATTTTTCTTTTCCTCCATAGAGTTGCACTGTTCAACATTTATAGACTAGTAGTTCTAAAAATCAGCTGTGCATTAAATTTGTGCTACAGCCACACTAATAAAAGTGAAACTCTTTCAGGTCATGCCACCTCAGTATTTTGAGAGATCTGCTGCCAACAGTGTTGTGGGTTCTCCATTGACACCAAGACGACTAAATGAGGTCCGAGCTGAAACCGGAAGCCTCGGAAAAGGTCAGCTGGTTTTTAAGCATAATGTATTTATCACTCTTACACCACGCCCTGAATTTACAAATCTAAATGGCATACAGGAAGGAAGTTGCTCTAATGGTTTATGTACAATTATGCATGAATAAGGCACTTGTAAACGTATTTCTGTTGTAACTTGCATATAAGACAGAAACATTCGTTATTTCAGATCAAAACAGTCCTGTGTCAGTGGTTTCAGGAGTTTATAAACATCTGTGTACACACATGTATGTGTATAAATACATCTGCTCTGATCAGTAGCACCTGAGCAGCTTGTTTTGTTACACCAGATTAGAAGCTCCAATGTATGTTTAGTTCTGTGAGGCTACAGGCTTTTTCTGGGGAACTAAAGCATAATGCAGTCACTGAGAAAAAGATATTCAGCACCACGTTATTTGAGATCAAGTCATCTCATAATCTGTAAGCCACAGATATGGACATTAATTTTAAATGCTTCCAGTTGTCACGTTTGGGGTCTCATCACATTTTTTTTAAGTCTATTTGTGTAATAAGGGATTTTACAGCAAGATTTATGTTTTTAATCCACAGGCATTTCATCTTCTCCTACTACCCTGTATGACAGATACAGCTCTCCAACAGCCCATCCTACAAGAAGAAGGTTGTTTGTTGATAATGATAATACCTCTGACAATGGAACTCCAGTCAGAGTTTCCCAGCAGCCCGTGGTAAATACGGTGCCTGTGCAGAATGTGAATCCTGAAGCAGTGTCAGTAACTCCAGTGCCCGGCCAGACATTGGTTACAGTAGCAACCGCCACTGTAACAGCCAATAATGGGCAAACTGTGACCATACCTGTACAAGGTAAGAGAAGAGCTGCTGTGAGATTAGGGCCATTTCTATCCAAGTGTTAGTATACAGTAAGGGGGTGAGGGGGAAACAGCACACCCAGAGCAGAAAAGCAGGCTTAAGAATTTATAGTGGGGAAGAACTGTACAAATAGATTAGTGGAATGTAGAGACAAGACACAGACAGCACAAAGATGTTCACTGATTGTGTATTAGCAACTTGGTTATTTCAGTGACCTTTGCTTCCTCAACTGGAAGAAAGTGACATTATAATTAAAGATCAGTTCAATTCTGTTATTTTCTTGTCTCCTTATGATAAGAAGTTCAAAGTACTTTCATGAAACATTTTGTGTCTATAATATACTACAAACTATAAGCAACTAATTTAAGATTTACTGAATTATTAAGAAAAAGCCATAACAGAAAACACCGTCCACACTAAACAAACCACCCCAACTTGCTCTTATGTCAGACTCTTCCTTAAATTACAGGTATCGCCAATGAAAATGGAGGAATAACTTTCTTCCCAGTGCAGGTGAATGTAGGGGCCCAGCCTCAAGCTGTCTCTGGCTCCATTCAGCCCCTCAGTGCCCAGGCTCTCACGGGCACTTTGAGCACTCAGGTGTCAGGGGCAACACTGCAGCTCCCAGGACAGGTCACTGTTCAGCACATCACCTCTGGAGAGCCGAGACCAGCCCAGCAGCTCACTGCTGCCACAGCCGCTCGGTCCCGGAAGATGGGCTCACTTTCCCTCTTCTTTAGAAAGGTACTTTTCAGCCTGCTTAGTTTGTATTTTGGTAGCTCTTCTGTGATGCTAAATATTTCCTTATTTCTAATATTAATAAGAGAATATTTCGTTTCCAAGATAACATGTTTTGTCTGTTCAGATGCATACCTGAAGAGTTGGTTTCCTGTGCAGAAATTTCTCACTGTCAGAGTAGATGAACAGGACAGCTGTCACTAGTTGAGAAGATTTACATCTGTGGCTAACAGCTGCTTGAACGTATCCATCTTTAAGGTTCTTAAAGAAAGAAATTCACTTTTGAAATACTCTTAGTTATTCAGTACAGAGGTTTCTATAGATGCTCTTTCTATAGGTGCTTCAGACAATTGCGGAATTCAAAAACAAATGCTTTTTTAGTGTCAGTACGGTATAACAGTGTCTTAATCTTGTAAGCAGAAATTAATTTCAGTATTTGTCATTAGCTTATCATTTGCACAAGTTCACAGAGCACACATGTCCAAACTGTGCTCTAACTTGGATAAGAGAAGCGCTGTTGACATGGTCCCTGCACTGTCTCTTTTCCATCAGGTGTATCATTTAGCTAGTGTTCGTCTGCGGGATCTCTCTGTCAAACTGGATATATCTGATGAGCTGCGGAAAAAAGTCTGGACATGTTTTGAGTATTCCTTAATGCACTGCCCTGAAATCATGATGGACAGGCATCTGGATCAGCTGCTGATGTGTGCTATCTATGTTATGGCTAAGGTAAGCTGAATAAAAACAGCATGTTTTTTAAGGCTTGGTAGTCCAGAGATTGCTCTTACAACCCACAAAAACAACCTCAGCAAACCAAACAGTGGGGGAAAAAAACAACCAAAAACCACCACAGAAGGTCTAATACTCACTATTCTTAGGTTACAAAGGAAGACAGGTCGTTTCAGAACATTATGCGCTGCTACCGGACACAGCCACAAGCCAAGAGTCACGTAAGTACAGTTAGAAATCTCCTCATTCCCAAAGCAGAAATAAGGCATTTAATAAATGACATCATCTAATAAATATTAAATGATGTATTCTCTGAGCCACTGTCCTTAAAAATAGCAGTCACACTCAAATCTTGCGCTACTAAAAGCTTTTTCTGTTCAGCTATACCTGTAATTTAAATTATCTTCGCTTACAGCCTACATCGACAGTGCCTACTGGATAACAGTTAGGAGGCTGCCTGCATTTTTCCCTATAGAAAACAATGTAATGTCAAACACTGTTCTGAGAAGCAGATGTATGGTGCAGATTGTTGCTTCCAGACGGTGTAACTGCACATCCTCTCACACTTACTCACTGTGATGCTCTTGTCTCCCTGCAGGTGTACCGGAGTGTCCTGATAAAAGGCAGGAGACGCCGCCGCCAGTCTGGCAGCAGTGATAGCAGCAGCCAGCAGAACTCACCTACAGAAAGAAATAAGGAGAGAAGTAAAGAAAGAAGTGAGTGTTTCCAAATTCCAGATGCTCCTTTTTAATCCTATTTTCAGAACAGTATAGGTAGGGTACAAGTTGGATTTTGTGTTACCCAAACACTAAACAGTTCCTTCTTAGATAAACTTAGCTACAATTAAGAACATACATGAGTTGCTTTGCAAAATGAAGCTTAGCATTGCACCTGCTTTGACAGTACAGTTTTGAACCTGTCACTGTGAGTGTAATACTGAGGCAGCATGAACTCCTCAGGTATTTTTGGATACCAGAGAACATGATGTAATGTGAAAGTAGCATGTCCACAGCAGTTTCTTTTAATAGTTTAGCAGAGAGACAGCTATGAAGCTGGCTGGCTTCATAGATAAAAACCACTACCAGCCCCTCCCTGCATCTGGTTTAGCACATCTCATGTCTCTGGAGTGCAAAGATTCTTGCCTTGATACTTGAATTAACACATTTTTGCTTGAATGAATTTTGCATAGAAAAGCAAGTAAGTGAGCATGCGTATTCTTACAGCCAGCTTTCAAGATACTTGATAGTGTAAGTGTACATTTTAATGTATTCTGTCACGGAAAGGTGGCAAGGAGGGAAGGAACAAATAATGTATTTCAAACTTTCCACATTAAACTAGCAAAAGTACCACCAAGGCAAATATTTCTACCATTTGCTGAAAGAAAGACTGACATTCCTCAATTGAAATTGTGCCAGCTGGCAACAAGGGAAATTATAGGGGGAATGCCTGAGAAATGGAATTTCAGCTCACCTTCTACAGAAATAAATCACTTTCAGCTCATCCAATAAGCTGTTAGAAATGAAGTGTTTCTGTAGCAATACTCAGCATGTCGCTGGTCTACTGTAAGGGAGGGTGCTGAGCAGGATCACCAACACTGACAGCAGACACCTGTGGCCTGCTGGGGATTGAGGAGTTCTGCTTCTCTCCTCAGCTAGCAGAGACTCCAGCCCTGTGATGCGCTCCAGCAGCACCCTGCCTGTGCCACACCCCAGCAGTGCTCCTCCTACTCCCACCCGCCTGACCGGGGCAAACAGCGATACGGAGGAGGAAGAGCGAGGAGACCTCATACAGTTCTACAACAGCATCTACATCGAGCAGATCAAAGAATTTGCCCTGAAATATACTTCAAATGGGGTAAGATAGCACTGTGCTTTTTGTTAATAAATAGATCTTATTTTACTGCGCATGCTTAGCTAACCCCATCTTAAGGAAAGCAAATTCAAGAGTATTTATGAGAAAAATTCCAGTTCAAGGATATAATCTGGTGCTGAAAGATTAAACCCTTTTGCTGCCTAGTTGCTATTTCCTCCCACTGAAATACATGGCACCAGTGAATGTCATCTACAAACCTCAGATACAGTTAAAAAGTAAAATACTAGTATTTCCTAGATGTACAGCAAATCCTGCCATGTTCTAAGGAAGGCTTTGACTAGTGGAGAAAAAAATCTGAATTGTTTAAAATGACCAGTTTACAACAGCCTTACTGTAGATAGCTTACTGAGATTACATAGCAGCTGAGTGTGGTTTTTTTTCCTCTTGAACAGACGGACTCCCCTCCACTCTCACCCTATCCCTTTGTGAGAATTAGCTCTCCTCGTAGAGTACAGCTGTCTCAGAACCACCCGGTGTACATCTCACCACACAAAAATGTGTCTGCTCTCTCTCATCGAGAGAAAATATTCTATTATTTCAGCAGCAGCCCATCTAAGGTAAGACTAAAGGGGTTTAGTTTGGTTTTATAAATCCTGAATTCTGTCATTTATGTTGGGATGTGACGTTAGAGAGTACTGCACAACTCCTTCTAGTGTACGTTGTTAAAAATATACTCTGTCACCAGATTGTCAGTTTACAGATCTAAAAAGCTGGAGAGCAATGAGGTATCCAAGGTACTTGCATACTTGTAAAAGCTGCCCGTGGTAACTGTGCACGTACATCAGTGACACCACGGGATGGGGTGTTAGGCATGAAGACTCAAAGAGTCAAACATGAAGTACAGTCATTCCCTCATATCTATGCAGTGATATCTATTTAGCACAAAAAGACTTACCAAGTGAACATGGAACAGGCTGAATCCTGTCATCTCCAGTCACCCACAATGAAGTAGAAGCCTTCTCCAAGCAGCGTCTTCATTCAGGATAGGAATTCTGCACCTACGGTGCAAGATAGCATGCCATAATTACAGGTGGAAGGCCTTTCAGCTCCTCGTGCACCTGCAGAGCATCAAAAAACTTACACAAAAGGCTTGCTTGAGAAAGACTGGAATACAGTAATGGGACCAACACAATGGTTAAAAGGGTTAGTTTGTTATAGAAAGCACTCCATAGTACACAGCTCCAAAAATAAGGCATTTGTAAGCCTGCAGTAATGGGACTAGTAAAAACATTGGGATTTTTGTTGCCGCAATAATGAGAATTTTTTCTTTCCACCTCTCCCCAGAGGCTAAAGGAAATTAACAGCATGATTAGAACAGGAGAAACCCCAACAAAGAAGAGAGGCATTCTCTTAGAAGATGATAGTGAAGCACCAGCTAAGAGAATCTGTCAGGAAAACCACACTGCTCTGTTACGCCGCCTGCAAGACGTAGCCAACGACCGAGGGTCCCACTGAGTGCAGGGGCTCAGCACAGGTAGGCCCTCTCTGCTGCTGCGCCAGCCTGGCAGCTCAGAGCATCCCATGGACTCACCGAGGCTGCGCAGGCGTCAGGCTTCTCCTGCCAGCCCACGGTGAGCAATCCCTGCTGGGCTGTGCCAAGCCTCTGCCTGCAAGAGCTTCCCCAGTGCCAGGGATGGGGAGGATGCGTTCTGAACTCTGCAGCTCCACTCTGCCTGTTTTAAAGCTGATCAGAAGGCAAGTGACCTACCTGCAGGCGTTGGCTTCAGAAGGCAGTTCAAAGCTTTTATTGCTTGGAGAATGCATCCCTAATACAGCTTTCTACCTTGCAACAGGTATTTAAATCTATTTGCTCAACCAGTCTACTTACAGTGTTTTCATCAATGCTTGACCATTTTCAGCTTTGTAATAGGAAGTTGCATATATATCAAACATGGGAGCACTGTACCAAGGCACTCATAGTCAAATGTGTCCTTCTGGAGAAAAAAAAGAAAAAAAAAGGAAAACATAAACATTAATGACTGCCATAAAAATAATCATTTATAAGTAATAGTCTAGCAACGTCCAGTTTTTTCTGCTTGGAAAGGGAAGATAGGAATAAGCTTTTTGAGAGCTGAAGGAAACTATCTGAATGGATTCTGTATGTATTCAGGATGCTTTGTGTGCCTGCAAATCCACCACACTGTTTTGCTTTAACATTTGGGCACCTTGTTGTATAGAAGTAGCTAACTCCATTTATACATTGTCTTTAGCTGTGCAATGTTTTCAAGTGAACTCGTGTTCAAAAGGTGGCACTTTTGTGAAGCATCAGTTTTAAGGCAGATTAGTTTTGCTGTATATTTGCAATGGCACTTTCTAAATGTGAATATCTTTTTCAAGGCTGACTTCAGCCATTTTTCTTAATGGACGCAATCCAATTTTGTATTTATTTTCAAATTGCCATCCCACAGCTCTCCTTCTTCAGCAAATGGCATTAAGAATTCATTTTAACTGCATGCAGTAACAAATGCAGGAGGTCAGGGATGTGGGCTTTGGTCAAGAAATTTTATATGCTTGTGTTGTTTCTTCAGATTGCTCTGCTTGAGAGTCAGGAATCAGCCCTCACTTCCTCAATAGAAGGAAGGTGGCCTCAATCTCTTAAAGATGCACACTGTGCTTCTGCAGTGGTTTTAAAGGACAGAGGGAGAGGTTTTTTGTTTTTTGTTTTTTAATGGACAGAATCAGGCTGCTTGGGAGAAATCTCTCTCCTGCTAATGGTATAAGAAAGCAATGCATATATTAATTAGACCTACTAATTGTTTCCATTTAAATTAATTCTAAAATACCAACCTTGGTGGTATGCTCAGATCTTTCCTACTAATTAGTGCCCTATGCCAACTTACTCATCTTTAATGACAACTGGGGACAACGTTGTTGTTCTTGTAAAATTTAGCACACGCAGATGCTAGAAGATTTTATAAGGAAGCAGAACTGAAAAGCTCAGTGTTCTCATTCATCGCTGCTCCTTTGAATAATGGGAAGATGTACGGCTTAATTCCACAGTAAAATCAGTTAAGGTAAAATAAAAGCATCTTTTGTTCTTACCTGTGTAAGAAGGCCTGAAGTCAAGCAGTGGTGTAGATGTTTCTGTAAAAATATTTATGAACTTGTCAGACAATTCTTGTTATTCTGTACCATTTACATTAATTTGTATGAAAATATTGCAAGTGTATTTTTCAATAAAGAACTCATAATAAGACTTGTGTGAAAAAAGCTTCATACGGGCAAAGCTACACTCAGTGTGCATCTGTCAAAGGCTCGGGCTGCCCTGATGGCACAAATACCAAAATAGCACATGGCTGGGTGCTACCAGGCACACGATGTACTTAATCACAAGAACCTCAGTCAGATATTAGCATTAAGGGTGTCAGGTAACAGGGCAATGTTTCATTAACTACTCACTCCAAAAAAAAAAAAAATTATTCTTACCTCAGTTTAAGTCATAGTTTTAAAGTGTTCCCTGCTAGTATTCCATTTCTCTTTCTGAAATATTCTTTACAGAAATCAGAATTATAAGCATTACATTTCTAAGTGTTTTTAAAATGCTACTTTAGACAAATATTGACGGAGACTCAAACATTTGCAGTCCATTTTTCATGAAATGACTTCCAGCCGTAATAGGAAAGGTAACAGCTAAGTGCTGGAGAAAAGGATTTGGTACCAAAGTGCATTTTGGTGCTGTCTGCCTACCTTGCTCCTGGAACAGCTCCTTTTTGTACATGAACTGCTTACAGGTGATCTGTTATTCTTCTCCTCTTCCCTTTTTCAATCTAAAAAAAATATGCCATTTACTAATTTTGAACTAGAAATAAATTCAGCATTCTTTAAACATATAAAATTATTTTCTCATAAGTAAACTGCTATTAACATGGGTTTCACTAAGAAATCCAGACTGCCCTCAAAGAAACAAAACTTGCTCAAATAACCATTATTTCAGCTCCTTTCTTGTTATTGCTTTTCCTTTAATTGTGGTCTTTTCTAAACCCCAGCAACGATCAGACATAACTGTAACCACATCTCTGAATTGATGTGAGATGGTTACAACTATTCTGAATGGCCATCAATTTACTGCATGTGTTCCCTGTCCAACCCCATGGTAACTTGGGGTTTATACGCCATCGGGAATTAAGCTTTCCATGCTGAAATGACAGAGCATCCCACAATTAGAAGGGATTGAACTTCCACGCAAGCCCTTCAGTTAAGCCGCTTAGGAAATCAGTACCTGAATAATGATCAAGGTAACTAAAAAGGAACACTGCAGTTCTGTGCTCTGCTTCTGACTCCCTGCCTCGCTGTTCCATTGTGCTCAGTCCAAATTCTAGGCCTATTTTCTGTTCCACATGAGTCCCTGCTTCACTAAATATCACAAACACTGAATGTGAAGCATGCGACTTTCAGCCTTCCCAAGAAAAGAGAACTAAGAGCAGCAGGAGAATGAACGTTCACAGTATTTGAGTAGCTACACCACAGGCCAGTACAGTAGCTCACAGAAAACCTTTCCTTGAAACATAACCACGACTTAACACGTAATACAGCTCACCTTCCAGATCAGTTACTCCAATCCTGTCTTCTAGTAGAAGTTCTGAAGAGTCTTCTGACAGCCCCAACACGCCTGGTGCTTACCTGCCCCGTCAGACACAGGCCAGCAGGGTTACTAAAGGAGAAATCTAACCATGGTGAGTGACACTAGGGTGTCTTTTCTTTCTGCATTGAGTTACAAGGAATTTAGCCATTCCTTTCACAAGTCCAGTGCTGCTTTAACCTCCTCTTCAAGTACACAGTACGCCATTCTAGAGACTTCCCTAGCAGAAAAGCTGCAGGACAGCAGTCGTGCTTCACTGCCTGAACTTATTTGCTAGAAAGGGGCACATGCATACTTACAACGGAACACATGCAATGGACCACAAAGTGAAACAAACATACTGAAGTGAAATCTTCAGTATTATCAGGCATTTTCTCCCTGTAATGCAAATAACAACAGCCAGAGACATTTTCCCCACCCAGCAAGAAAATCAGCTGCACTGCGATTAAAGAGACAGGTTATACAGCAACAAAACATTTTCCAAGCGTTAAGCCAGTTGTCAGTCAGTTCAACCCCCAGTCCCAGAAATAATCTCAGATTTAAACTGTAGCTGCTGTGAGCACTGCCCCACACAGAGGCTGGGAGAGAACACCCACGTCTCTGCACACTGAAGTGCTGGAAAGGCACTAGATGGACACAAGCTACCTCTTACTCCCTTCGTAACAATACAAATTACAAAGCACAGCAGTAATTAAGAGATACTAAGATACCTAAAAGCACTGGAGAGACGAAGACGAGAACAGTTGAGCTCCTGCTCAGTGAAGATCCTGGGGAGCAGCGACCACAGCCACGTTGAGGTGACCCAGGAGCTGCACTAGCCCCTGGCACAGGGGACACCACAGCTGCCACCAGGACACACAGCCAGTGCTGCAGCTGGGGCAGGTGCTCAGCCTTCCAGACCACAGGATTTTCAGTACAGCTGAAACATCACTATCAATACAGTTCCCAATAAAAGACCCACCATGCATTTGAAGCCTTTAAAGATATTTAAGGCAGCTGTTCTGATTAACATGACCAGAGTCTTCTTCACCAAAACAGGAATTCCAGAAGTGCAAGAGACATCCCAGCCAGCTCCAGGAAACCCGCTGCATCTCCAGAACCTTCAAAAGGCTCAAAGCAACACGCATTAAGGCTTCTGTGCCTTAATTTGTACATCCTTAAGTGCTGTATGGAAGCCACACATGTCACCCTTTAGCACTATGTTAAATTAATCGCCTGGGGTATGATAGTATATTACCTGTGCAGTCATTGTATGTTTCCTTAAAAGCTAAGAATCTGTTCTCCAAGATAGAAAGGTTGTTCTAGGACAAGTAGATTTAGCTTCTGTAATACAAAAGCTACAAACAAACACAAAAAATTGTACCATGACTACATACAAACTCACCAGGACTTGTTTCTGGCCAGCAGGGTTTGCATTAATACCAAACATACAGGTATGAGCATGACTTAAAGAAAAACAGCCCAATGGTAGCCAGCACCACAAACTCTGGATTTACAGAGCAATAAGACATTATGCTAGATTATGATATCAGGAGGACTCTGTAGAGTAGAAAACTTTGCCCTGAACTCACACCAGCCTTAGAAAGGTTCTCCTAGGTGTGGAACCAAACTGTGTTCAACCACTCTCTTCAGCACACAACAGGACACCTACAAATACTTCTGTTGCCAGGCACTTCCAGCCCAGTTCCAGGCTTTACTAAGTGTCTAAAACACAAACAGTTGGACAGATGCAAAGTGATGATTCCATTTTATTTTCTTAAGATGTCACCATTACCACACATTAGTCAAGCTATTCTATTTAATCCCTACAGTGTAGACACCTAGGGAATCTAAAATTCTCTACGATTTTATTAGCTCAAGAGACCACCATTAAAACTTTGATTTTAGTGTTTATGTAATAAAAGTCTATTAAGCCTGACATTCTTCTTTCACCCTGTCAGACTAATGTGTGCTTTAGTGACAGCATCCATTTACAAATCAATAGTACATCATCCACTGAGTATCATCCTCAGCTTTATCTCTGGAAAGTGCTAAATGGAGTCACTGAACCGTCTATTTACAATTTCAAATCCTATCATATTTACAATAGAAACCGAAGTATTTAAAACCATTAAATATAGTGTTTAACTCTGCTATATTAGTTTACATGAACACAGCTTACCTCTGGCATCATATTTCCTGCTAGTGTTTCTGCCAGCAATTTAAAATTTAGAAGAAAAAAAAAAAATAGCCATTTCCTGGAGGGAAAAAATAAAAGCTTAAAAGCAACCCCAAACCTCCAGGCATGTCAGAGCCCTGAGGAATTACCCACTCTGGACAGTCTTCAGATTGAAGTACTGCAGTGTTCAGAGATACTTCCAAACTCCAGGCAAGCCTTTAAAACCTAATGCATATGTGTAAAACACTGAGACAGTAATCCAAGCAAGTTTACTGGAGTCACTGCTACCGTTCAGTTCTTACTAATCCGTAAACTGCTGCTTTGCTGTTTCTCCCTCCATTACATTCCCTCCACCCATAGAAAGTGTTCTGTGCACCACAGTCCAGAAGAGCTAGGTAGGCATTGTCTTCTCCTCTTTGCTGAAAGGCTGAACTGAGCCAGGCTTTACCCATGACAGGCCAGAAACATGCACGCTTTTGCAGTGCTGATCTTCTGGTTTCTTCTAGGTAGAAGAAAATTGAAGTCAGAATTATTAGAAACCCTCTTGCATACCTTCCCACACATTTTCAGATCAACAATTACAAGCAGAAAAGAGGTCAGCATCATCTCCTCTCCTCAAAGAAAAACAGCATAACATCTACTGCTTTAATTTCTGTGAGTATGCACGGCATGTGTAGATCTACACTGACACTACAGGAGAGTTTTAATGACTTAGTTCATGTACTGTCACCCAATTATACTATAAAGATTAAACAGATACACCTTGGATACAGCATTCTGCTTGGAGAACAAGGCGCAGCAGCACTGCACTGTTGTCTGCCAAATTTCTTGGTTATACAGAAAGAAGAGTCAATCCAAATCAAAGCACATATGTCATTCACTTGCTGTTAACAGCTCTAGCACAGCCAGCTGTTTCTCAGTGCACAGAAATTATGTGGGTAACAAACAGAGTTGCAGCAGAAGGGAAAGAAGACAGGACTGGGGAACTTCCTTTTACAGGGAGGCCAAACAACTGCACTGGCATTTTGGAACAAGTCTCCTAAGGCACAGAAGCCTGAGCAGTCTTGCTATCATTAAACAGCTCCAGCAAATAAAGCACCACACATGCAGTAATTTGAAACTAAAACACTGACAGTGCATTTTTTTTTTTGCCAGTTCAACACAGATACCAGCCACCATTTCAGAATCCTGAGATACTGCAAGTTGGTTCACTTGTCATGCCACTCAATGCAGACTCAGAATTGCTGCATGTCAATTCCTGCCAAGTATTAGGAATCATTTAAAGTATAAAAAAAATAAACTGAATGAGAGGGAAAGTGTGTTTTCAGATATTTTAAAAGCCTTAAACTCTTCAGAATGAAGGCTCATCTCTTTTTAATCGCTCCAAGAAAGAGAAGAAAGCCTGTTCCAGTTTTTGTATACATTGCTAAGCTCAAAAGCCATTAGAAAGTTATCTTCACTACTTCAGTTCTAGAGCAGGTAAAGGGACACTCAGCATCACTGCACTTTGACTGTGCAACTATTGAAAGTATTGCTTTGTTGAAAACTGTATGAACAAACACACTCTTACAGTATCTGAGTGCTCTGAGGCAGAGGTAACAGTCCCCAGAAAGTTTTCAAATTAAAAGAAAGCCCTGAAGTTTTGATTAACTCACTAAAGATCTTTCAACAGAAGAGAATAACAAAGTTGGAGGTTGTGAGGTTATGCAGCAGTACCGACCATGACAGGACAAGCTAACAAAACAGTCAGCAAATCTCTCCTTTCTTTTTCCCTTCCATCTCTAAATAAAAAAAATCTGCCAAGTTTACTACCAATTGCACTCAGCCTAACAAAGCATTCTAGCTGGCTGAATGATTAATGGCTTAACACACTGAAGTTAGAACAGTGACATAACCACTTAGTTAGGACACTAATTCAGTTTCAGTACATTTCCAGATCCAGAAGAGAAGCAGAATAAAGTCTGCCTGTACGTGCTCATCACAAAGAGACACAGAACATTTCCTTCCTTTATCAGGCAATAAATCCTTTCTATAGTGAAAATCTGGACTTTGTACATACCTTCTGAGTCAACATCTTCTCTCTAGCTTCATCGTGTATAGCTGGATTCCAAGGAGAAAAACTGTGGAGAAAATACAGTTCTGTAACTCCACATTTATGCAAACACACAGAGAGATGTAATACAGGAAAAAAAAAAACAACAGTTGTACTTGGTTTAGTTTGCTTAATTTCAAGTCAACTACAAATCCGGAGTTTTTGCTAAAAAGAACTTACTACACATTGACACGGACCTTCTACAACAGAAAAGCACAGTGCTGGATAACCTTAGATTTACTCAATATTTATTCAAGGTACTCTTACATACATGCAAAAGAACAGGTCATCCAACTTGAATCTGTTGGCAGGGAAAGGCTTCACATAAAAAACGATACCAGAACTTGTTGTCAAAACATGAAGATGTTGTCAATTTGCCCACGATACTCACACGATTGCATAGGGATCCTCTATTTTGGGCTGATCAAATAAGTGACTGCTGCATAGTTTGACACTGTCTACCACTTTACTTTTGAACAGTTGAATATCTTTTTCGTACCTACAACAGAGAAATAAGCCATGTCAAGTACCTGCAAAAGGAGGTACAGGTTTGCCCTGGAAGCACAGACAGACCGGGCAAAGCCTCAGCGTTAGTTTCTAGCACAATATGCTGCAGACATAGAGATCACAAACAATTATACAGATCTCTTGATTCTGTACTTCTATGCAAGAGTCTCTTAAGAAATCACATCTTAAACGCCTAGAAGATACTTACAGCACTGCAGCCTCAGGGTTCAGAGGACTAGTTGTATCAATCTTGTAAAAGACTCTGCGAGCATACATTAGTACTTGCCATATGTGATTATGATTTCGCCTAAAAAAAGAACAAAACAAGGTGAAAAAAAGGAAAGAACCTTCCAAACTGCACATCAATACGTTACCACTAACCTCCATTTTGCAAATGCTCGTTTCACGTCCAGCTCCCCAGACAAGGGATCTACTAGTGGATGGAAGACAGGCAGATCAAAAACCAAGCGCTGCATTAGGAACAAGAAAAATCCCAATGTTAAAGCAGTGGGTGAGCGTGTATCAGGTCTTCTGTGTTTTACTGGTTAGTGAGATGTTACTCCCAAATAGCAATTAATTGCTACTATATAACAAGAAAGCAACTGTGAAACTGTAACCCAGCATACCCACATTACATGCAGAGGACATCCTGTCCTCTCTGACATTCTGAACACTGAACCAGGACACTAATCCAGCTAACAGCACAAGTACCAGTGCCAGCACAGGTAGCAATATCAGGTAAGATCAGATTAAGCCAGGGGAAAAAAACAACAACAACAGAACATCACAAAAAACCTTCAGCTGAAAGATCTTTACATTCTTGAGCTACAATCTGTAATTTCCTTTATCCTACACATTTTCTAAGTAAACTGTGAGATGCATTCAGCTCTGTAGTTTGTTTCCTCTGGCATTTGTGCATTCCTCTAAAAATAATAATAGTAAAATTACTTTCAACAGAAAGGCTTATAAAGTCCCATGCAAGCACAAGAATAATGGATATGTCAGAGACATTTAAGACTAGTCTTTGAAATAAACTATTTTATACTAATTCTGTCCCTGTAAAGCTTTACACAAAGCTTGATGCCAAACAGGCAGCTTCCTGACACAGCAGCTCAATCTCAGCTACAGCAGCTACGTACATCCACCCCCAACCTTCCTCTTAAATAAATCTGGCTAAGAGGACCGGATGCTGTGCTCTGGAGAGTCACACTGCCACGAATGGCAGGAAAGGAAAGTAGTAAGTTGGATACCTTTCCCTAAAAGGAAAAAGAAAAAGCAAAGATCAAAAGTAACACCATACTACCCATCTCCATTTCCTGCTACTTCATCAACTTTCTCCTCAAACTCTCTTAGTTCTTTGTTTCAATGTATTTAGAAAAGATACAGGCAAGAAATCCTGCAGTACAACACTGAGTATAGCACAAACATCTGGATTTCACATTCCATCATAGGCTGCTCAGAATTTGGATACATAAATGCTTAAACTTGAACTTCTTCAGCAAGAAAGCAACAACTCAAGAGTTGAAGTAAAGAGCTGCTTGACTGCTTAATGCTCCAATGTATCAAACTCTGCACCAGCCTCAGTAATAAAAGCAGCAAGTTCCCTCCACTGATGTTAGGAGATATGTATAAGATACATCACAAACATGCCCAGCCAACTAAACAAAACTAGTTCAAAGAAGTGAGAAGCCAGCTGGTACACTAGCTTTAACAAAGAGCCAAACTTGAAGCACCAGAGCAGAAGAAAAACCCAAGGCACACAACCACAGCCACTTACCGGGCAGTCTCCATCAGGGTAATTATCAGGAATATAGACTGTAAATTTGAACACACCATCCTGGTACAGCCCATGTCTTATGAATATCACTCCAA